GGACTAGAAAGACCCATTCCGTCCTCCAACACCTACCTGCCTACCCACTTCCTACCAGCGAGGAACCGCAGCATCTTGGAAGACTCTTTTCTTTGCTAGGATCCCCCTTCGGACGCCGCATGACATTTGTCTATTCTGTCAATTACAGACTCGCAAGCGCCCGGAGCTATTTTCCTCAAGATTCTTTCTTAGATCTACAGCTCCGCCCCAGAGTTCACCCGCCGGCTTGGACAACTTGTAGGCTGAGCAGATCGCGAACACGGATTTGGCCGTCTGTCCTGAGTCGGTTCCTTGTACGTACCCCCCTCTAGTCTCTTATGACACAACCCATGAGGCTCCCCTTTCTCTTTCCCGCTCCCTGGCACCTTGAAGTTTAGGTAGTTCGGCGATTCAACCGTATAATCGAGATCCTCGTTATCACCCCATTCGGCTGGTAGTCCCAAATAACCCAGAAGCGCACTTTGTTCCATGACATAGGCCAGGTTTCTCATTGATCCTCTCTACAGGTGACCTTATATTCTCGAGACATCATTTGCGCACATACGGCGCCATCATTACCCCGACTTTAATTCATAGAATCGCCTCATAAATCATTGCGCCGGCCGCGCCAGAGCACTTGCACCTCCACGAGATCACGAAATCACTCTCGGCGCGACCACTGCATCGACAACTTGAATGATCTGCTGTGCCAACTAGGTCCGACACACATCTCGTCCTCGAATTCGAGTAGTTCTTGGAGTCTTTGGCCTGTATTCGGATATAAGGCATCAGCCATTTCGGAGGCGTGTTACATTGAAAGCCGATGACTGGATAATCGGCCGAGGTATCATTGAAAAGGTTAACGACTCGCATCGGTGAGGAGAGCAGCAGATTGCAAAATTGCCGCAGGATTGCAGGGTGTCCTGAAGTTTGAAGCGTCCCAGGGATCCGAATCAATCGGGTTCGGCCTCATGCGGCCTCGATTACGCCAAGCCAGCAAGAGCAGCAATAGGTGACTCTTAGACTGTATGTCGCAACAATTGGAAGAGATATTCAGAGAGCTGGGCATCTCTCAGTATCTCGATGCCTTCCTTGACCAGGGCTTTGATACGTGGGAGACAATTCTGGATATCACGGAGTCGGACTTGTGAGTGACTATCACATGCGCCCAGCATTCCAGATCAGGCTGACCTCTTGTCTTCTCACAACATTACAGGGACGCGCTAGGTGTCAAACTTGGACATAGAAGAGTGAGTATATATACAGATCTTTGTACATTGCCGAACGCAAGCTAATGAAGGCCATACTAGAAACTCCAACGGCGGATTGCCAACTCTAGAGGTGTTGCGCCAGATGCCGCGCTTGTCTCGCCCACAGGTCAGATCATCGAGGAGACACGACCGGAGCCACACAGGCCAGATGCGTCATTGACTGAGGTCCGAGATCCCCCGACGACTATAACAACAGCGACCGTCCAAAAACGCAAATATAGGCGACATCCAAAGGTGAGAGATCGAGATCTGTGAAGCTCAAACAGAGCCATTGGTGATTGTATTGATGGCTGACCTGATGGTTCGTTTGCCTGCCGCAGCCGGACGAAAATGCCCCCGAGCGACCGCCCTCGGCATACGTCTTGTTCTCCAACAGTAAGTCATGTGACAGCATACCCCTGACCAGACACCTTTTGCCATCTATACCTTTCCTTTTTCCTCGTCTCATCAAGCTAATTTGTTTTCCAGAGATGCGAGATGACCTCAAGGGCCGAAATCTCACGTTCACGGAAATTGCCAAGCTGGTGGGAGAAAACTGGCAAAGTCTCTCTCCTACCGAAAAGGAGCCGTTTGAGTCGCAGGCTCAAAAAGCTAAAGACAAGTACAATCAAGACTTGACGGAATACAAGAAGACACCTGAGTATAGGAATTATATGGTCTACTTGCAAGAATTCAAAGCAAAACATTCGAATTCGTCACAAGGTAATTGAATAAATACCCCTTTTGCCTCAACCCCTACCTAGCCTACAGGTCTAACAGAAATGTAATTCAAGAAAAAGACGCTTCAAAGCGAGTCAAATTATCAGATGCCGGCAGTGGAGACCGGAGTGTCACTCCAAACAGGGCAAGTAGGAGTGGAACAGCATGTAGTGTAGGCGATGGGCCTGCTATGAGTGAGCCATTACCGAGACGGCAAAGAGTTGGATCAACCGTGTCCAATGACACACAGTATTCTGCGTCGGTTGTATCAGGCGCTCAACTTACCCCAGGGGAGGATTCGCTGAACTCCCCCGGTACCCATTACTTTGACCGTCGTCCGGAGCAGTCCCCCACTCTCGGTATGAGTCCCAGAGACGTGTCTGTTCAGCCTTCTCGACACTCTTCACAAAGAAGTTCTGCATGGCTAGATGGACATCGTACGGATCCTACATCAGGACCAAAAAGTCTTCCTTCGTTTTCCGACATGTTTGAAGGACGGGCTTTGGCTAATGGAACACCCCATTCGGCTGAAGGTACCCCAAGTTTCAATGCTCCTCCGCCGAGTCACAGTTCCGGTAGCCCGGTACCAAGTTTAATGAAGTATGAGGCCGGACCCCCAACATTGAAAAAGCAGCAGTCCTCAGCTGGCAGCATATCATCCGCAAGCTCTTACAGTATTCCGAGGACTCCTATTGATGGCCCACTTCCGATTCACGCCCTTCTCACAGGTGGAAAGCCGGCCTACGAGGCATTTCACTCCACTCCGGTTCAACATGGTGGGCTCATCACTCCAGACGACAGAGCAGCAGTCTTCCTCAGTCCACCTCAAGATCGAACTCCTAGCGATACAGTACCCACTGGCTATCCGTTCCCGCCGCTCGCGACTGGCCATCCGGACCGTACTCTGCCGGGGATGGGTGCCGATCGTCCCAAAGAGAGTTTCTACACCGGACCTCAGGCGCCAGCAAGTCATGCGACCATGCCTCACCCGCCGCCCCCTACCCCCTTTGGGCGGGGCCGCGATTCACTACCTAGCGGAACTCCGCCGTCACGAAATGGCAAGGGCGACGCCAACCTGGATGGGATGAGCGCTCTTCTACGAGCTGGCGAGATCGTCGGTCGACACCCCAAGTAACCTCCTTCGGGTCCGTTGGACATTTGAGGTTGCTTTTCTACATGACTCCGGCGGAGTCATGCCCCACTAGATGGATTTCCTCTTTTCGAGCATTCGACGACTATTTCATTGGGACGGCCATCGGCTTTATGACTTCTATATAAATCCCCAAAAATAACGCACTTCATGACCACATCATAGGTGCAACGGCCTTTTCATTATCAGCATCATTATCCTCCTCATATTCATCTTCATCTCTAACGTCAAATACTTTCCTCTTTTTGCTGCATTTTTATTTTATTTTTTACTATCATAGGATCTTGTTTCTATATAGGGATATACCCCCTCCGGACAAAAACCGGCCAGGACTCAATACATCCTCCCCAGCAACGATACACGAGCTTGCTTCGAGGGAAGACAATCTGGGACACATTTAACCATCATCAAGAGGATTAAAAATCGGGCCGGCGTTTGGGTGGCCAACAAGCAGACCAACATTATGAATGGGGTATATTCTGGGTCTGTTTTATTGTTGTTGTTATCATCTTTTTTTATGCCAGCTTCATGAATGTGAGCTTGAGGCAAATATCTATCTATTATAGATATGGTATGGTTTTGACAGGATTTGCAAGTTTGGGCCCGTTGGTGCCAGCAGAGCCGCTGTTCTTATGGGAAATGGTCTTTATCGTGGATTTCTGAAATTGAGAGACGCTTGAATCTGGGCCTCTCTTGTTCAACGTGAGGGATTTGTTTTATCGTTTTCTTGGGTCTCGTTTGTGTATATTGTCCAGCCACGCCTGACCGGTCCGGGGGTCTTCTTCTAGGGAGACCGACCGTTGCAAAATTGAGCATCATAGAGAACAGAGATCACGAATTGCCTCGAATAATCCTTTGCTCCCTCGTGTGTGTGTGTGTGTGTGTGTGTGCGTGCTAGGGCCGTGCTAATCATCGCACATCTATGTGAAGTCAGTCAGTGGGGGCAACTTGGCGAGATGCTTCAAGTCAATCACGAATAGATCAAACCTTGTTGCTTGTGCAGATGGAGTAAATACAAAGAATAAGTGGGCGGGCGGGCGGACGGACGGACGGACGGAGAGGCATTGCCCTCGACATTCCGCCATCTCATGAGATGACGATATTTTAAGCAATCAATCATACGAGGCCGAGGCATACGATTGATTCACCATGACCCATTCCGCTCCTGAGGAGAGAAGACACACGCGCACCATAAGATTTTGGGAATGACATGGCAGGTGATCAGACGGATTTGGAAAGACAACAAGACGTATCATTCATGTGAGGGCACTCTGTTTCCTTCATGTCAAAAAGGCCCTTTCCGAACAACCCGTGATTTGACTCGGCAGATAGGGAAACAAGACGCTCGTGGATAGACAGACAGACAGATAATCAACAGGAAAACCCCTTATTTCAAAGAAAAACTTCCCTGTGCGACCCTTCCTTGTAAAAGTGCTGGGGTTGGGCAGACGGATACGCAAAATCGAGGTAGAACGTAGAGCGAGCTGAACAGGGCTCAGTAATAAAAAAAAGAAAAGGCGGTATATATAAAAAAGAGCCCCGTGAGAGCCAGCCAAAGTCCTCCGTCTGCCCGATCCCAAAACAAAACAAGGCGCTGTGATGCCAAATTTCCCCTCCTTTGCCCCATCCCCAATACACACTCTCTTCAGAAGACGTCTGCCTCTAAACTGACAGGAGGTGAGAGAGCAGACGCCTAGCCGACGTGGTAATGATGCATCGACAACTCCTTATAGAAACCAATGGAAACCATATTCAAAAACGCCGGTATGACATGCAATAACAGCTGTCTTCCCTCGGAAGTAGGCAGCATCGTGTACGTTAAGAACCCCCCTATCCTGTAGTGTCAAAAAAATAAAAAAGGTGCTGATATCAGATTTTCCATCTCATGCTTCAACAAGGATTCAGTCGAAAAGACTCTCGCTGGTGACTTCAAGTACTGTTGGCTCTGAAAATGAGCTACACGACCCGTCGCGTTAGCTATATGTCCCTGGGTTCGGAAAGACAATTACGTGCCCTTGACAGTGGATCCTCCTGGTCTGCGGTGATAATCGCAGGACTGTCCATGCCAGTGATTTGGTGATCTGCGGCTGTTGCAAATCGGGGCAGGGGAGGCCGCAAGTATTCGGATGGTGTATCAGCGTTGATAGCCCCGGTTGCCTTGACATCTACCTGCCGCGAAATGTCTCGATCTCGGTTCTTCTCAAGCAGAGCACCGCCCAAGGTAGCACATTTCAGGATAGTCTGGATGAGATGGTTTTGCTGTAGCGGCTTGGACAGATATTCGTCCATTTGTGCTTGAATACACTTCTCTCGATCACCCATCATAGCATGGGCTGTCAGCGCGATAATCGGCGTTCTCTGAGTGCCGAGACTACGCTCGTATTCACGAATCTTACTCGTCGCTTCAAATCCACCCTAATTCACCTAATTAGTCCAAGGTCGATACGAGGGCAGAAACAAAGGAGAATCTAACCATGATTGGCATTTGAACGTCCATCAAAATGACGTCGAATTTCTTTTGCTTGATAGCATCGACGGCCTCCTGACCGTTGCTAACGACAGTGACAACATGATGGTACTTCTCGAGAATCTTAACGGCCAGCTTCTGATTGACGGTGTTGTCTTCTGCCAACAGGATGTCGAAGGACTTGGTATTATCGGCGAGAGAAGGTGTAGCTCTGTTCTCCAGAGCGGGAATCATGCCGTTGCCAAGATCAATCAGTTGGCAGGGTGTAGTCATGTAGGATGTTATACCAAGATCCAAGCAGGACTTCAGACTGACATGGACAACTGGAGCCAGGAGAACAATCGGGAGATATTTGAAATCATCGATCGACCGGAGTCTCCGTGCGGTATCGATTGAGTCCACGATGATAACATCATAGGGGGGTGTCTTATCCTCTTGCATCTGTTGCGACAGGGTAGGGTGGTGCTCCGAGTCAACAACAATCGGCTCAAGGCCTAGGCCAGCAAGCATTCGCTTGATCTGCGAACCATGGCCGGTCTTGCCCTTGTCGATGAAAAGCACCTTGTGGTTGATATACGGCTTGAGTTGCTTGCCCAGCATTGAAATATCGCCATCAGCCGATCTAACAACACATGTAAAGTAGAAAGAGCTACCCTTTCCGTATTCACTCTTGACCCAAACATCACCACCCATGAGGTTGACCAGGCGCTTGGAAATCGATAGACCAAGACCAGTGCCGCCAAACTTCCGGGTCATAGAGCCATCAGCCTGTTGGAAGGTGTCGAAGATGAGGTCGAGCTTGTCAGCCGGTATACCAATACCAGTGTCTGAAACGACAAATTCAATGGCGTACTCATGCGGAGAGCAGTGCATGCCAACAGCCTTCTGAATAGTCAAGCTGACTTCTCCATGTTCCGTAAATTTGATGGCATTTCCAACAAGGTTGAGAATGATCTGTCTCAGCCTGAAAGAGTCACCAATAACATGATCCGGTACTGAGCTGTCCACTCTGTACGTTAAGTCTAGGAACTTCTCGTTTGCCTTGACCGCTAGAGTCTTCAGCGCGTTAAAGACCGTTCCGCGAAGTGTGTAGGGGATTTCTTCGATAACCATCCTTCTAGCCTCAATCTTGGACAAATCCAAAATGTCGTCGATGATGATTAGTAGACTGTTGGCTAAACTGTTGACGATATTAAGCATTTCTCTCTGATACTGAGTCAAGTCGGTGTCGAGTGTGAGCTGTGTCATGCCGATGATGCCGTTCATAGGTGTTCTGATTTCGTGCGACATATTGGCCAGGAATTCGGACTTCGTCTTGTTCGCCAATTCGGCCGCTTCCCTGGCCTGGGTATTCCTCTGTATACTATCTCGGAGATTGAACACCATCTGGTTGATCTTCCTTTTCAGTTCATCCATCTCACCGGATGCCTCAACCTCGACAAGCTTTGTGAAGTCTCCGTCCGTTGCCGCGTTAGTAATATCGCCAAAGGCTCGCACTTGTGCCGTCTATAAAGGTTAGTCAAATCCCTCTTCATCACCAATCATCATGCGTGGAGACATACCAGGTTATTTGCCATAGTGTTGACATCCGTTGTGATTTCTTTCCAGCGCCCTTTGAGTCCTGCAACGTCGGCCTGGCCACCAAGTATGCCGTCGATGCCCACATCCTTGGCCACCCTCTGCACTTCATTACAGAAAATAGACAAACGGTCAACCATGTTGTTGATGGTTTCTTTAAGGATGAGTATCTCCCCCTTCGCTTCCACGTCGATCTTTCTGCTCATGTCGCCGTTCGCGATGGCTTGGGTGACAGTAGATATTCCTCGCACCTGAGATGTAAGATTGGACGCCATAGTGTTGACGTTCTCTGTGAGGTCTTTCCATTTGCCCTCCACATTGTCAACCTGGGCTTGACCGCCAAGAGTTCCATCAGTGCCGACTTCTCTAGCGACCTTGCTCACTTCGAAAGCGAACGTTGACAGACGGTCAACCATAGTGTTGATAGTGTTCTTCAGATCCAAAATCTCTCCCCGCGCTGCGACTCCAATCTTCTTGCTAAGGTCGCCCTTCGCGACGGCAGTTGTAACTTTGGCAATCTCTCGCACTTGGGTGGTCAAATTCATGGCCATGCCGTTGACGTTCTCTGTGAGATCGCGCCAAGTGCCCTCAACATCGTGCACCGTAGCTTGCCCGCCAAGGCGGCCTTCGGTACCGACTTCTCTAGCAATTTTCGTGACTTCGCGGGCGAATTGCTGCAACTGGTCCACCATGGAATTGATTGTGTTCTTGAGCTCAAAGATTTCACCCCTGCATTCGGCTTCGACTTTCTGTGTCAAATCACCCTTTGCGACAGCTGTTGTGACCTTGATAATGTCTCGCACTTGAGTCGTGAGATTATCGGCCATGGCGTTCACATTGACGGTCAGCTCGTTCCACATGCCCTTGACGCCTTCGACATCAGCCTGACCACCAAGCTTGCCTTCAGTTCCGACATCCTTGGCGACACGGGTGACTTCCGAGGCAAAAGTACGAAGCTGGTCCACCATGGTATTGATAGTTTGTTGAAGTTGGAGAATTTCACCTTTGGCGGGACGTTCAATCTTCTTGGTGAGATCGCCGTGGGCTACGGCAGTTGTGACGGAAGCAATCTCACGCACTATTGAATCAAGTCAGACACAGGACAATTTTACTCAAGAAAGAAAGACTGTTTACCTTGATCGGTGAGATTTTGAGCCATCACGTTCACTGTATAGATTATCAGCATGCGACTTGGTGGTTGAGATGCAAAAGAAAGTTACCGTTGTCTGTCAATTCCTTCCATGTGCCATCCACGCCTTCGATTTGGGCCTGGCCACCCAGAATACCTTCGGTTCCGACTTCGCGAGCGACTCGAGACACTTCGCTGGAGAAGACTTGCAGTTGATCCATCATAGTATTGATTGTGCGCTTGAAAGTCGTAATTTCGGGATCCACGTCGACGGTGTTCATTCGAACCTTCTTCGAGAGGTCACCACGAGCGACGGCGGTAACAATTTCGCCAATTTCTCTGAGGGCTTTCTGGAAGGCCTCGTTCGCCTTCTGGTGCTTGAAGAGCTCGCGCTCCAGGGTCGCGACACGTTCTTGCTCGATGATCGCAAGGGCTTTCTCCTGTAGCTGCTCCTGCTCCATGAGCTGAGCCTTGACACCAGCGAGCTCCTGGCGCTGGCTGTCAAGCAGCTTCGACTGATCATCGATGTGCTCTCGCAAGCCCTCGAGGGCATCCTCGGTGAGCTGGTTTGTTTTAATACCACGATCTTTGACGCCGCCATTGCGGACGATGCCCGGTAGCTTAGTCTTAAGCGAAGTCCGACTCACAGCAGTTGAGGGCGATGAAGTGTCATCACCAAAAAGGGAATCAGAAGTCTCGTTGGGGGTGTCGGGGAAGTTTGTGGCGCCGGCCGAACTGGCTCGGGTCTCGAGTTGCTGTACTCTCAATACGAGCGAAGCCAGCTCGCGCTCCAGCGACTGTTTCTCATGTGTCTCGCGGCCAGGCAGCTTGATATGATTCTTGGCCCCAACACGAACGGTAGGCGCGGCGCCAGGATCGGCGGCCAAAGATTTCACGATGGACGTGATGGCGGCCAAGGCCGCGTCGTCGGCCATGATTGATATATTTGAATGTGCCCGTACTTGCCGTCGAGGCGACAGCAGTCAAGGAGCGTGTTGGGCAGGGAGGCAGTTATCGGCGTGTGACTGGCGAATGCATGGGTCGGTTTTCCTGAGGCTCGGAGGATCAGTGAGCAGAAGTTCCGGCTGAAGCGCCCGAGACGGAGATGGCGAATGTAGAGAGCAGGCCACACAGCACGCCGCTGTCTCGAGGCCGGCAGAGGTTGCGATAGTACAAAAGGAATGTCGGAGACGAGAAAAAGAGGCTCCTCACAGGTAAAGATCAGAAATCGAATCGAGCCGGAGAGGATGTTTGTGTGATGAGATGAAGCTGAGGAACGGAAGCCAAGAGCAAGCAATTGCTGGGCCTGCCTCCACTCTGCACAGTGTGTCTAACAGAAGAGCGTCTGGTGGGTTAGATAAGGAAGGAAGGCGGGAGAGAATGGTTGGTACCGGCGACGGCTGGGTGAAGAGAGAAGCGGAGAAGGGGGCTGAATGAATGAATGAATGAATGGGCAGCAGGACTCCGTGGCAGCACCGCCGTCCGGTCTCTTTCTTCTCTGATTGTCTCTTTCTCCTCTTAACGTTAGTCGAGCCAGCCAGCCAGACAGAATAGAGAGAACAGATGAGCAAGCAGGGGGGTTGAAAGAGTGCAGGTGTGGTGGTGGGAGGGGAGACGGTCACTTCGCCCGGGCGGGCGTGCTAGTAGGGATACAGATCGCCACTACACTGGCCTAAGTACTGTACCTAGACGAACGCCAGCCCGGTCCGTCTCCTATTTGTCGTGACTTTTTTTTTGGTCTCTTGTCCTGGCGCGAGCAACTGATGGTAGCCCCTTTTTCCGCCGCAGAATGGAAAGGCAAGCGAGGCACGGCACTGATTAATTCTACGTAGAATCCCTCGCCGTGTGCAGAGCCTGCAACGAGGCAGAGCACTTCGAGGGCGAATGCATTGTGTTCGCTGAAATGTAAAGTGATGTCAGGCAAGGTAGAGTGACTTTGAAGCCAGCGACGTGACAGTAGCGCCTTCCGCTAAAGTGAAGGCGGCCGAGGCAGGAGCACGGGAATGAGATGATGATTGAGGCAACAACGGCTTGATGGCGGAGGCGAATACACGGGGGGTTGCAATGTAAAACAACAACGATGGGCTAGAGAGCTCTCATTGTCTGGTATCGTGATGTACCTACTGTACTGTACTGCGCAGTCAGTGTTAGACGGGTTGACCGAAAGGGAGTTGGGCTGGTCAAGTCTGGAGGTGTCTGGCTCTGGCTCTGGCTCTGGCTGTGGCTCAGTTGAGGTGCTGCGTAGACACTCACTCTCGGTTCTCGGAACAGTCAATCCCTTCAGGCTCTGGGTCTGTCTGGGCCGAGAACGACCAGCAAGCAAGCAAAGCAGCAAGCAGCAAGCAGCCTGCAGCCCAGTCCTTCTTCCGAGGAGGTCAAGCACAACCGCAAGGGTGCAACGCCGCCGGCGACTTTTGAATGGTCGGAAGGAGGCCGGGGGGAGGGGGGCTTGGGGGACGGTTCTTTTCCTTTTTCCTCTGGCTGGTCGACGCGAAGGAGACAGACGAGTCGCACCATTCAAGAAGCGGGTATGCATGTGGTATGGCATCTACTTCTACAAAGACTTACCGTATATCACAAGAGTACCTAGGTAGGCAATGCGCAGTACTGCAGTACTATGTAGGCAGATATAGGGTGGTGTTGGTATACTATGTAGAAGCAAATGTCAGTCCAGCTCCAGGACCAGGACCAGGACCAGGACCAGGTCGCTTAGGTACCTGCTTCAACTATGGGTAGGTATAATACCATTTATCGCAGTACGCGGCGTCAATCGGCATCGCTCTGTTAATGCGACTTTTCAACTCTACTCTACCAGTGACCAGGTACCTAGATAGTACCGGTAGCGGCCACAGTGACATAGCTAATTCCAGTGCCAGCCGCTTGAGGCGTCCGTCCGTCCAGCCTAGGCGCTTTTTGGGACTAGTCACACTCTTGGGTGGTGGGTTCTTTGCCCTCCATGCCCTCCTTCTGCGAGATGGAGGTTCCGACCGGCCTGTAGCCCGCCCACATTAGGTGCCCACCAGCCCACCAGCCCACACCTGTCTACTCTGTACGGGGCCTACGGGCTTCTCCTGGCTCCCCCTTTGCCCACCCGAGCCACTCCCACTGCCACTCTGTTCTGTGACGGCCTGCGGTAGTCCCGGCGCGGGCCAGACCAATGCAATCGATTTGACAGACGAAACAGAGATCCTACTGCATACTACGCCGGCACCACGCAGTGCTACGCAACAGCAGCATTGCTCGCATTGCTGCTGCTGCTCCTGCTACTGCTGTGGGCGTGCCGTTCCCTCCGTATTGCGAGCTACCTACGGTAGCCCCAATGCAAGACAGGTAAGGTGCTCCTCAGGAGCTCCATTTTGCTGCTGAGAGCACCCAAGCCGTTTGTGGGGCTCTGGTGCTAGGTGTAGGGCCTCAGGTACCGGTACCTTTCCGAGATCAGTGTTTGTTTGAGTGAGCGAGTGTGCTTCTGCGATACGGCCAAGGTAGGTAGCCAGGCAGAAGATTATCGCTCCAGGTTGGCCTCGTAGCTGCGCTTAAGGTACCTAGGAGCCTAGGTAGGTCTGGCAGTTAAGGTAAGTGCAAAACGTGCCTTCATCCTTGAAGCCTTACCACCACAGGAAACGTACCAGCCAGATATCAGAATGGCAAGGAGGCTGAAGTCAAGCAGTCGGGTCGTAGTTTCCTTCCGTCATTCTACCGGTACCTACCTCCCTGCTTAGGTAGTCTCTAGCAGGTACCAGTCTTCTTGAAGATGATCATATGAATGGTGATCGAGTCAGCTCCGCCAGGGGTCTTTGTTTCGTGAGGCTTGATGCCCTCCCTCTTACTACCTGCCTTATACCGTGAGAGGCACTGTACTTCGGTCAGACAGGAACTACTCTACCTTGTGAGGTAATCTGCGCATTCTTTTCTCGAGTCAAGCGTGTCTGCATGTCGTATAACCAGATCTAACGCCGGTGTCCTCCTCGACAAATCCTGCCACGAGCAATGACGATGATCCAATCACTCACCTCATCCCACTTCATCATACTGCCCGCTCGCCGGATTTTTTGTTGCATTTGCATTGGCCGTTGCAGTTTGCAGGTCGTACCGGGCCAGCCACACACTCAATTGGTGATTGCTCGATAGATTGGATCGATAACTCACCTGATAAGCTGTGAGGGTCCTTGATATCGTGCCGATACTGGCCCTTTTGGGGTGGCTTTACCTGGTCCGCGCATGGGAATCTCATCAATCAGAGCACAGCATCTCTCCGCATTCCCAGCAGGTGCATTGTGCCAAGCCCGCAAGCACGGTCCAACAAGATGATACCCTGCCCTGCCTTTGACTCTGTAGGGCAATCTCCACGTTGCTTTCGGTTCTGAAATGGCAGGGCATCCAAAGGAATGAATGAAGGAATCCCAATCAACGGGACTTTCGGCCTCCAATTACGTATCGATGGTTCCTTTAGCCTTTTCCTGTCTTTCTATCCTCATAATTCTTTGTTGAGGACCGGAAACCGCTGGCCTCGATCGGACACAATGGTGGCTGCTGCACTGGCCAAGGGGTTCCTTGGTAGATCGTTGATCGCCATTATCCCATCGCAAAACCCGTCAGCTTTGGACAACGAACACGAGTCGTCCACGACCCCCCAAAACCGAGCCAGCGATCAGCAGGGTCAACCCTTTCATTCCTACCCGCGATGGTCAGGTGAGACTCTGCATTCAACTTGACTTTGGCAGACTAAACCTTCTGACCGCCTCCTTTTCGCATCCCTCCCGAGCCTCCCTACAATCACCTACCCGCCCCCGGACGTGTCGCTCGCGTCTGTCTCAAAATATAGCCTAGGGTTATTCCCATCACTCCCGCAATGTGCCTCCCTAGCACATACCGACCTTCGCCTAGCCACCGACGTCATCTGGTGTGGATTGTTTGGGGCGGTCTCAAATTGGATCTGCTTTTTTGATACGGCGCTCCAAGCCTCCCCGTACCATTTTGCAGCGAGTGACAGAGCGCCATCGACATGGGTCCGCGCCTCCATTGGATTCCTCTATTAGGGGCGGTGGAGGTGGCCCCATCGCTTAGCCTGCCATGTCTTCGTGTATCGATACCTCAGAGTCGTCACGGCCCGCACTTGCTGCTGTGAGTGTGGAACTGCATCTTTGGTGCGTTCTGATAGCTCTCCGTCTGGCGTGTGTGCCAGCGTGCCGTAGGGACCACTCACTCGCCACTATAGCTTGGCCCCTATCTTCCACCTGTCAACCGCTTCACGTCCCGAAGGTAGTTATCGTGGACTTGACGAAGCATTTGCCTCGCAATTCCAGAGAATGCGGCACGAGACGCCATGCAGCATGCATCTTTCCCTCGCCGATCGGCGCCCAAAGGTGAAAAGTACTGTAAATGCAGGCGATTCAGGCACCAGGGAGCACACCCCCTCGACAGCAAGCATTTCACCTTCTCAGGGATTCAATGATTGGCAATGGCGGATGAGCGATCGACACAAACGTGTCCATTCCGCCCAGTCCAGAGCAGAGCAGCGCCACGCTCTCTTGCCAGTCACAGGCCAGCGCATCCATGGAAAAAAAGAAGGACCCTTTTCCCGAGTCGCATGCCGCTGCATAGGTGGTCCGACTGCCGATCTCCAGGTCTCATCGTAACGGCAATCTAGACGCAAGCCCATCAAAAAGGCCGAAACAAAACCCAATCTCACAGCATCTTACCATGTGGGTGGTGGGGGTGGTGCTGTTGCGGGATCGCCCTCCAGTGACTGCCCCAAAAGTCAAGGAAACAACCCTTGCAAAGGCATCTACCGCGCCGCCGCCTGGGCTCTGAAACTGATATTAAGGGTCAGATCAGCTTCTCTTCTCTATTAATCACTAGAAAATGGAAACAAAGTTCCCAGGAGCCCGGCACGGCCGAGCTGCTCCCAGCATTAATGACATGGACCGGCTGGCTTGACGAGTCCACCTATGGGTGCTCTACCAGGCGACCCAAGGGCATAGGCGGCTGAAATGGTGCTGGCGGCCTCGTTTTTGCCCCACCGACAACAAGGTAACCTTTGGACCCTGAATTCAATCCTTTCTTGCCGGCCTCCGATCCTCATGAAAACACGTTTCAGAAATCTGGCAGATCTTATTGTGCTGTTATCGATACAACTCTAGCCCGATAGCTTGTGATAGCCCATGGGGACTTGTGTCCCCAATGTGGTGTAACGTTTGACGCAATAAGGGGCACATTGGGGATTTTCGTCATTCCGTTGTCCTTCGTTGCTGACTCGTTCAGTCTGGTGAGGCAGGCCACGGGCGGGGACATTGAGAAAGGAGCAATCTCTTCTCTAGCACCGTTCACTGCTGCTTGCGCTTCGGTTTCCGAGTTCCCCGTGTTGTCCCTCAACACGTTGTCCGTCGGCTCACTGCATTACGAGGTTTTTTTTCCTCTTGAGAATGATAATGCTTCGCCGTTGTCACTAACTTAGCGTCCCGACCCACTCCTCGTGCAAGCCAAGCCAAGCCGCCGCGTGAGAGCACGAGTCGAGTCAGGAGCGCACGACGCCCGCTGTGTCTATATTCGGATACAATGCCTAACCTTACCGGCTACGCGGAAGCCGGTGCGTTGGTGGTTGGAGCTCAAGAGATGGTCTTCGAGTGGCCAGTGTCGTCAAAATGGCATGATCTGCTCGGTTGTTCTGAATTTTTCTTATTTCTGCTTCGGGAATAAGTAGCGTCTAACGGTACCATCCAGTTGATACTTTGGCTGGGCCAAGTGGCCTACTGCTACGCTAGGGTAGTGAATCTCAGTTCATCAAGGTGTTATCATCGCCTCCTCGTAGGGCATTCACTGCCTTTGAAGCGGAAGGGAGGGGGGCCTCTTGTAATAAATAGAACATTTGCGGCCTCGAATAAGTGCCGTGATACATGTGAATCAGCATCGTTGTCCTTGATAAATAACGTGTATTATCCTGACGGAGGAGATGTGAGATTCCTGGTCTCAGCGGTAAGGTAGGTACGGTCCTTTCTTCACAATGGACGTTCGTCATGAATGAGGTCGGGCTGCTAGTTATCTTCAACATTAAGATGCCTTTTGAAACCATTAAAATTCTGACAATAATGTTCTAGAGACTTCATTTGATGCGCTGAGTATGTGACGGTGACATTTTGAAGGTCTTTCTGAGGTCTACGTTCTCGGTTAGACGGGATTTTGCCAGAACTATACCAGCTCATTCCGACTGACGGGGCTGTTATGATCGAGATCGAGATTCAATGACTAGACATGGCCAATCCGAGCACCTTGTGATCTGCTTGCGTGCTACACAATATATTTTGTTCATCTGTGATGTTGACGTTAGTGATAGACGGTGGCACCTTCAAGTTCAACCCGGGAACACCATCTTCCTCAGAAAGACGAAGAACAGCAGTGGAATAAGATCAGGAATGCTATAATCATAGCACGCACCATAATGGCGGTGGTCTGTCCTTTCGTCGAGATGCTCGATTCCGAAGCTCGTGTGGCTGTAAATGACGCCAATTGGGTCATGAAAAGGGGCAAATGAGATTGTCATAGTAAACACAGCTCCCCTCCAACGCACCAAAGAATTATCATATCATGCAATTACAGTGTCATATAAACTACATCTGATCTGGCGGTTGATGAAACCCATGTTGTAAACAGTTGTAGCGTTGATAGCCTAGCAGTCTCTTTTTTCCTCTGTCTTCAAGACTAGGTGCGACAAAATTGCCTCGAACATTACACAGCATTGTTTCAGGAGAATCGAGATGGCAACTTTTGTCTCATATGAGGAGGAAGTGGCAGGAGAGCAGATCTTTCCGGTCCTATTCCCATCTTTGGTCCTCAAGACTCGTTATAGATGGAAAGGCATGGCAACCTTTCTCGGTCGACACCAGAGCTATGTTGTAAAGGCTTCATTTATTGTCTGATGACTTGATGTTACAGTGCGTACTGGCTGAACCGATATTAGAGCCAGATGAGGTCCGAATCTGTAGAATGGATAATCAATAAACCAATCAGTGAAAGCATCGGGACGTGCTACCATCTTTGAACCACGGTAACTGTTCCATTATCAAATAGCCTTTTCCGTCCCATGTTTGTTCTTGACACGAAGAATAGGCCATTTGTCTACATGCAATGTCTGCCTGGCCAAAATCAGTCACTCCCCATTTGTTGCTGCCTCGTACCTGCCTGAAATTTCCTAGGCTGACGGACAGGTAAACTTCGATATTCTTACGCGTCCCGCAACAACTCCGGCTTCTTGCCATTGTTTCTGGTTGTCTATTGTTTTTTCTCCCACGAGAATAGGTCTGATTTTTCTTATCCTCTGTGTCTAATGTGAGACCCTGAGCATCATAGATCTTGGCCGGCAACCTCGCATTCATCGCTTTGACGGTCATTTTGCCTGGTGTGATCGGATCACTGAGCGTAGGTTCCATGTATCATACCACTGATTCCACATCGAGACGAGCTGAATTCGTTATAGCAACTTATCGTAACACTGGCTATCAAGATCTTCCCATTAGCACTTGCTGTTCCTCGATGTCAGGTTTTGTTGCACCTCGAGGCCTCTACTGTACTGTGAAGCTATGAGCTTCACCCTCATATCAACACATCATGGCGTCATATGTCTCCTTGGCCGAGTAAGTTGAACACTAGTCGATGCTAATTAACAATCTCTGACTTCTCACGCACAGTGATCTTGGTTCCGAGATGGTGACCATCTATGTTGGGGCGGCGAAAGAATCGTTTCTTGTTCACAAGAATCTGTTGGTGGCGCGATCTAGCTATTTTAAAGGGGCTTTGACGACAGCATTTTTCAGAGAGGCACAAGAGGGCACCATCAGTTTCGAAGACGAAGATCCTGCCGCCTTTAGACTTCTGATCGCGTGGCTCTACCAAGGAGGTCGAATCCCACGACTGCAGTCATTTCTCCCACGGCTCAACTTCTCGATCAATCAAAACACACAACTACCCAGAGCCTATCCACCTCTCCCAACTCAGGAACAGCAAACACCGGTTTACACGACGACACTCACGAGCCCACAGGATACAATCGTCTTTTCTGACATCACAGCCGCCCCAGGACCATACCATTCCTTCTCCCTCGAGGAGATCCGCCTAGCGTACTACAACCATAACCCCAGCAATGAAACTACGAATCCAGGTAGAGAGGCTTCTTCGCCTACAGATACGCCTGAAGGTCTAGAAAGCGTTGATTATCATGGAAGTACGACGACCAAGCCAGATCTGCGTGGCATATTCACAATGAAACACGATGATCCTGTATTTCCGATGCCGACAGACTACAAGAGCTTCATGCAGAAGTCAGCAGAGTACCAGCTCACTCTTCTCAAGCTGCTCATCCTGGCAGAGAAGCTGTGCTGGGACGACCTCTTCAACGCAGCCATGAACGCCTTCATCGACGGCGAGGACAAGGTCATGAACCGTGCCCACATCCCTGATTACTTGATCGAGATGGCCTACGAGCAGTGCCACGACAAGTCACCCGTTCGGCGTCTCATAGTCGACATGGTGCACTCCGTGGCCAAGACGAGCCACACGCACTGGCGCTATTCGGGCCTTGTCCAGAAGTACAATGACTTCCTGGTGGACCTCTTCAAGCGGCTTGATTATCAGCCGGGTGACAGCCCGTTCCCGGAGGCTCTCAACCCATTGAAGACATTTAAGTGTAAATACCACATGCACGGGGAACGGGAGGAGATTGCTTGCTTCGGCCAGCATGGTTGAAAGATTTGGTCATCGGAACGGTAGCAGCTGTGGGACACCAGCCTTGAAGGAGCATTGAAGACGTCAAATCTTTGATAATTTCTTCTCCTGTGCATCATTCAGAGAGGGTCATGTCACTGGCTTTATATGATATGTTGTTAGGGTCTGATATTCTGTTGTAAAGGATCTTGTCCCTACTCTGCAAGTACGCCGCATAACCCCGTGTAAGCAGCCAGAGAGCTAGGTTAGATATTCTACCCTCACGGGTATTACAGCGTTTACTACGCTGTGTTCGGGACTTACTAAGTGTTACTGACTTCCATTGCTCTGATTGTTAACACAAGGATCTTTCTTTTGAAATTTACGTGGTATCAAATTCATACCACCTATCAATGAAACATGCTCTCGTGGATATCGTTTCCTCTTCATAGGGAAGTTGTTTCTGTGGAGATCGAGCCCGCCTCAGAATCCTTACATGGTTGGTTGATAGCGCTAGTATAGGGCCACTTGGACATGACATTGCGGCACAGGTCGCACTCAAAATGAGGTTTCTCAGCATTATTGCTTGAGGTTATCACGAGTTTGTAGAGGCGTCCTCTGATAGGACGGGACTAACACAAGGTCTACGATGTGCGTCGTCGAATGGAGGTCGGCGCTCGGGGGCGGGCAAGACCCCGCAAATTTGTTAGGCTCGCCGGAATGACGGGCTCACCCCGCTCCGTCACCACACAAGCGCCGACCGTCACTGGTGCCGGGACTGGCCAGCCTCAAAGGATCCGGGTTGCTCAGAGCGCCGATATTGTGTCAAACATCACACTTCATCCGTGTAAGTCCGCTCTGCACCGGTACCAGGATCTTTTAGATCGTGAAGATGCTCCATATCTGCTTCAAGACCGGTGTTTAACCTTGAGGCCATGATGTTAACTCCGCACCAGGACCTCATCGTGAGGCTTCAGGGGCTTCTGACAGTTAAGATAAAAGCCCAGGAGAGGCGGTGTTTTCTTGGGTGTTCTGTTCTCTAGTCTAGACGCAGTGAACAGAGCATTATTCGACTTCTAAGCACCAGAACACAGCACCGCACGGCCTATCAAACTTCGCCAAACTCGCAAATTTCAAGCGAGATCGGACAGCATGGCTCACACCATTCAAGGCAAGAAAGTTGGCCCCATCGGCTATGGCATGCTGGGTTGGTATACATCTCATCTTGAGCGGTGATGAAGCTACTAAATGTATGCCCCTAGGTCTTACATGGCGCGCGAAACCACTTACGAACGATGAGATCTTTGAGACGTTGCGTCTTGCCCTCGAGCTCGGCTGCAACTACTGGAACGGAGGCGATTTCTATGGCCCACCAGACAACAACTCCCTAACGGTGCTCAAGAAGTACTACGAAAAGTATCCCGAGGATGTCAACCGGGTCCTGTTGAACGTCAAGGGCTGCTCGCGCCTGCCCGACTTCAAGATCGACGCCTCTCCCGAGGGCGTGCACAAGAGCATCGAGGCCGACCGGGCCATGCTGGGAGACAAGGGATTCATTGACCAGTTCGAGTCTGCGCGCAAGGACCCCGAGGTCGAGATTGAAGTCTCCATGCGGGCGATGGCCGCCTTTGTGCGCAACGGCAAGATTGGCGGCGTCGCACTGAGCGAGGTCAGCGCCGAGACGATTCGCAAGGCTGCGGCGGTGACCAAGATCGAGGCCGTCGAGATTGAGCTCTCGCTCTGGGCTACGGAGCCGTTGACTAATGGTGTCGTGGAGGCATGCGCGGAGCTCGATATTCCTATTGTTGCTTATGGTGAGCATTTCTCCTACATCCCAGCCCTTACTCCCCCTTTCCTATCTTCGCCCCACTGTCACTTCAATATGTCTAATACTAAATGTCCAGCACCCCTTGGCCGCGGAGCCCTCACCGGCGCGATCAAGTCCCTCGACGACATCCCCGAGGGCGACTTCCGCCGCACGCTGCCGCGCTTCCAGCCGGAGAACTGGCACCTGAACCTGAAGCTCATCGACGCGATCGGCGCGCTCGCCGCGAAGAAGAACTGCACGGCGGCGCAGATCGCCATCAACTGGGTCGTCGCCCTGAACAAGCGGCCGGGCATGCCTCGCATCATCCCGATCCCGGGCGCCAGCTCGCCGGAGCGGCTCAGGGAGAACGCCACGGTCGTCGACCTCGCCGAGGAGGACATGGCGGAGATTGAGCGCATCCTGGCGTCCTTCCCTGTTGCGGGCGATAGATACCACAAGCATGGCATGGCACTGCTTGACACGTCTTCATGACTGGTAATTCTTCCCGCTTCTCATTGAATAGTAACGAGACTGCATTTATTATTATACCGCGACTTGTGCCAGATGGGTGTTGTCTCCAAGGGACTGGTGTGCTGTTAGTCGCGAGGTATTGCGAGCACAGACAATTTTTAGGATCGTGTATGTACGTCTGTATATACACGTATTATACACGTATTATACAGCGTATTAAACTCTCTACACATGCATTTTTGGTGTATTCGATTAAAATACACCTGAATACATTGTATTTGAACATATATCAATCTGTCTATGCATGTATTCTTCGAGAAAACCATCGCGTCGATGTTAAATACACGCTTGTACAACAAATATGTATTTTCCTTACAGATTTCGTTCGTATTTCTGTACATGCGGATTTGGTACCATGAGCGCTAACTGAGCGACGGCAACAACTTCGCCCCTTCAAAAGCTAGTGCAGCACAAACGAAACGTTGAAAACAAAGAACCCACCAATCTATCTATCACATGCCTATGCGCACCAAATAGAGTCCACAGAACGAATGCCGTCACGATCAAACAAAGTTATGGGAGCCTTGCCGCACATCACACAGCCGTCGTCGCAGAGCGGCCGGGCCCAAGACGTCGGTACCGGGGCGTCAAGCGGGCCCCCATCATTGCGGGATCGGCGAAACAACCTAAAGCCAGCCCCCCCCCCCCCCCCCTTTTCCGGGTGAACGTGAAAAACGTCAGAAACGTACTTAGCCAGCAGCTCTATGCATCCCAGGTTTTGCTTGAGTATGAGCTCCGAGTTTGCGGGATGGCAGATAACGACAAAACGTCCGCACAGACACGGTTAAGTATGATATTTCTTGGATAATGGTGGATGGTCAAAACTTCTCAGGGCTTGCTCGGTGTAACTAGCTTTCGAGTCTCACTTATCAATCAGCTTGTTTGACGTAGATTAGCCGTATGACAGCATCCTTGGGGCGAGATCTATGTCACACAAGTTGTGCGCGCATGGGGCTGACATCATATCATCATCCGGAAGCAGTCATGGCAAGCACAAGACAGTCACGCACGCATTACACCCTTTTGGGGGAAGAGCATCATTCATCTAAGGTTGTGTTCATTCATGTATAACGCATGTCTCTGTGATACATACAAATTGCCTCCACGGAGCAGCCCTTTTCTTCTCGAGTTCTTCTATGCGGTGGCGAACATCGGGAGGGTCGCACCTGCGTTCATCGCATCGTGCTCCCATTGCCACCGCTCCCTCCTCGGGCAGACCGTGAATGTAGTTGTGGGAAGACTAGCTAGCCATCTGCAAGCTTTCTGAGAAAAGGTTGTGTTGGACGTTTTGAGACAAGAGGAGGTTTATGAACCTGACGAAGAGTGTTGCTGCCGAGTGACGCCGCGGGGGAATATGTACCGTACAGTAAAAAACAAAATGGGGGGTTTGATGGGCGTCTGAAAACGTGTGGATATCGAACGCCTTCCTCACAATGCAACTTCCAGAAGACTGTCCACGAAATTGCGCAAAAACATGTTCTAGCGAGTGGATAGAAAAGAAGACGTGCAAACCATCAAAAAGACTCCGCCCCCCAAACCGAGTCCATCCGTGAGCCGACCACCCCTTTGAGATTTCCGCTCCCTCTATGAACGGTGGAAATCCGAAACTATGTACAAGCGAAGAAGGCAAGACCAGGCGGCAAAAGGTCGCGTCCAGCCTTGAGTGAGCTGCGAAAGAATCCGTAGCTCAAATCCAGACGGGCGGAGCCATTGGCCTAGCCTCGGCGAAGAAGCTCGAGAAGAGGCCCTGGATCTCGCCTAGGTAGTCCTCGGCGCTGAATTTCCTGAGGCCTCGGCGTGCGAGTTCTTGCTCCTCCTCATCGATGACGTGCACCTTCTCCATCACACCATACTCCTCAGCTAGCTCAGTCACCTGGGCCAGCTCGTGGCCGAAGGGATGGGACGGGGGCATCTCCTTCTGCGAGGGAGCTGCAGCCGGCGCAATGACTGGCGGCGGGGCAAGCACAGCCGAGCTGGACATCTTTGGCGCATGGTGAGATGAGACTGAGTTGTGCGACGTAACGCTTGTGCTGGTGGAGCTGGAGGATGAGCGGGAGAAGCTGAAGCTGGCCTTGGTTGACAGAGTGCGGCTCGACTGCTCAGATAATCTTGAAACAGACCGGTGACGGTTCAAGGCATCGTAAGACTTCTTGGTGTGGGAAGGCGAGCGCTGGGGAATAGCGGGTGCCTCAGCCTTGGGTGAAGTAGCAGTGACGGTCTGGCCTGGAGCTGTGAAGTAGCATGACAAGTGATTCGGCTCCGGGGACATGGATCGCTTGGTCGGGTAGGGTGAGTCCGGGCTGGTGGGCGGAGTGGAAGCCGCGGTGTGCGCACTGTCAGAATCATCGTCTGACCTCACCGATGAGGCAGTGGTAGGAGATGCAGCCTTGCGGACGATGTCTGGGGCATTGTAGGAGAGCATGTTCGTGGTGTGAACGAGCTCAACTGGCGCTGAGATCTTGTGCCTGATAGAATGTCCAATGGATCCCTTGGTTGTGTGGCTGCGTTGAGGGATAGCATCTACCGGAGAATCAGCAGCCTGGAGGCTCTGCTTGACCCGGCGGGTGGTGAATGCTCTTGCTAGAGACATATTGGCTTTTGCCTCAAGATCTGAAGTCCAAGTGAATGGTGTGAGAATGCTTGTGCAGGAATGCGCAACAGGCAGTTGCGGGGTTTGGTGTAAGTGAGATTGAGGTGAGTGAATGAGTGGGTGAATCTCCACAGGAGTGTCGTGTAAGTGAAAACCAGCAATTGAGCTGGACCGTTGAATGCGAGGATGAGGTCCCCAAATCGACGGTGAGAGAAGCTTAAAAATAGTCTTGGTCTTCCTGAGAGACTAGACGGGACGAAGGCAGGTAGTTGCAGCGTGCGGCAACGGGACGAGGACAGAAGTGACGAACTGTCTCGTCGAATTGGCGAGTGTGAGGTGGTACTGCAACTGTCGATGCGCTTGCAGCGATTCGGCAGCTGTCTTGTGCTGGTGTGATTGGGTGTGACGTTGCTCCAGGTCCAGTCAGGATGCACAGGTGTTGCCCTCTGATCCTTTTGGGGAAGGTAACGGCGGCACAGGTGACCCTATCAGAGGCGCCTAGGCGAAAGACCTGGTGATAGTCGTCTGAGACGTCTTGGACTGAGTCAAAAATCGCTGTCAATCCCTCACGAGACGTGCAGCTTGAAAATCAGACGGAAAATGAAGATCCGTCTAGGTTCAAGAAGTAGAGTCCAAGGTTAAAGAAAGCCGGGTCAGTTGGCAGAACAGTCCAGTGATTGCGCGGTGTGAAAGAGAAGGTGGCAGTTGGTTAGCCGTGATGCACGTTGGAATCCAGTCCTTTGTGGGAGGTAATTTTTCTATGTGCGTCGTCGATGACGAGGACGAGGTGAAAGGCACCTCAGATTTTTTGTTTGTCGAAGTCGTGGAAATCGGTTTGCGCCTGTCTTGCGTCGAAGCTCTTTGCCAACTCGATCGAGCTTCCTGAATATATGAAATTCGCGCGCGCGCAGGAAACAAAGCCGGGTTCCTGAAATCGACAGTGGAAGGAATGATAGCGTTTTTGTATTTGCGTCTTGTGAAAGGAAGGGCGATGCGGTTCCTCTTGTCCTACCGTTCAACTTCGTGCCCGCGATGATGGAATCCGAGGAGGACAATGGAACTGACGTCCGAAGGAGAGACTGACTGGAGAGTCGACAGATAAGAAGAGCATTCGAGGTAGGAAACAGCCCGCCGGGACGTGACTTGGGGGGGATCACAACAGTTAAAAGAGGGAATACCCAGAAAGGAACTAGGGGGAGTGTAGGGGTGGGAACGCCTTTCTGGGGTCCTACGCAGTATACTCTGGAGTTCTCAGTACTTGACTCTAGCATGGCACTACTATGATAAGCCCGAGTCAAGGGAACCTGGGCCGGCAGAAATGGATGAGGATTTTTTTCCTTCTTCTTTTTTCCCTTTTGATGGCTTGCCAGGCACACGCACACACGCACACACCCACCAACTCCCACCTTAGTCGAGCGACAACACACCAGCGATGGCGCCGTCGCTCTTCAAAATGGAACCGCAGAGCCAAAGAGCCAAACCCACTCGCCCGACCGGGGCAAGCGTCGGGCCCACATCCCTGTCCCTGGCCTGCATGGGTAGCGGAACGTCTGCGGCCGCTGGTTGGCTGCTGCCGCCAGCGGGGCTATCTTCCAGCGAATCACCGCCGGCCGGGCCTGCTCCTACAATTAATTTTTTTGGCAAGGGCTTTGGTGCCGTCTGCCGGGGTGGGCCAGCTGTCATCCGTTGGGCTCCCCCTATTCGAGCATCTCCCTTTCTCACTCCTCACGCGGATCCTCTCTGTCCACCCTTTCCACCCTTCTTCGGAGCCTGCTTAACTAGTTGAACTGGTCACTGCATACATACACACTTTATGTAGTCTCTCTATTTGGCATCGCATGCAGGCGCATAGCGCTCCAACGGAATGTCAGTCTCCAGCGCCGGACGCTGTTTATGGCACGTCATTGCTGCCGTATTTGACATGCCAGATTCCTGCTCGTCCTCTACTCGCGACGAAGTCAGGGAGGGCGTTCCCACTGTATAGTGATGCCTCTCCACGGCTGAAAATAGACAAGACACAGCGATGGAGAAAATACCATCGATCATCCCTGGCGCCGGTAGGGGAAGGGCCTCGATGGTGGTCTCCTGCTCTCCTGATAGGCCGCTGGTTTCGACACCAAGAAGACACCAGGCGGGTGATCCTCGCTGTTCCCCTGGCCTAAGACCGCCTTTCCTTTTCGTCCTAGCGCACCTGTTCCTGCATTTGAAACGGGCGGCGCAAGCATTCTCACTCTGCCATTGGGCGAATGTTCCAAGCATCCCCCGCCTGGGCGGTGCGTTTCAGACTCTGGCCCTCTTCTGCCTCGAAGAAATGAGTCGATGGCAGGCAGCCCTTGCTTGCCCCCAAATGCTTGAGTGCTCGAGTGGTTGCGTGCTCGAACGCCTGCACATGCTCGGCCGTCGATCGACTCTCACTCTGAGTCGCGACCGAGAGGGGCAATCGCGGCCAATTCCTCTTGACCTTTTTTCCCGCGCGCAAAGAGCCGGGCAGTGCAGTTACAACGCGGATGAACATGGTCCACATTGACCGTGAACCATCGTGCCCCCAACCTCGTCTGTGCATGTGCATGTGCATGTGCATGTGCATGCTGAACGAGACGCAGCACTCGTCATCTCCTCTCAAACACAATCCTGGGGTGCGGTGCTTTGCTTTGCCATCAAGGTGGTACGCGTAGGACAAAACGTATGGACATGATTCCACGAACCATCTGACATCGTTGGTCGCTTTTGCTTGCCTGAACCTGGATACAAGGGTCCTTTAAGCCTCCTTCATTTAAATGGGATGGCCTGCGCATGAACTGCCATGGAGTGCCTCGAGCATAAATGATCAGAGGGTGATCCCCGCGCTTGTTAGCGGACCCCCGAGCGCATAAGAGACCAGATCGAATGATCCCGGGATCAGATAAGAACATTCAGTAACGACCCTCCGAGAGATCCACGCGTCTGCCGTAGATCAATCGACCAGTTTAGGCCTGCAGAAACGCCACCACGCCGCGTCCAAATCCGTTGTCTTTTCCTGATGCAAGACCTCGAACAATCTAGCTTGAACCTTGAAAAACGCCATTAAAGCGAGTCATGCCTTGATTGAAGAAACTGGAGCCGATCGCTGGAGTAAAAGCCAGTCTTACACGGCATTGCAAAGGAATCTAGGCTTAAGTCTAGGCCGAGTTGTAGATATGTAGGGATAAGGGCTCGAAGACATATCTCGGAACTTGTCTTACATTCAGGTCAACATAAATCGGGCCGCTGTGGGCGACGGATGGTAGGACTTCCCGCTTTTACCATTATCCTGGGTTTATTGATTCCCTACTTCTACGACTTGTGCGCTACAGAACGTAGACCAGCCTTGGTTTGGGACATGCCAACACTACCACTACTATACGTCCTCTTCGGAGGATTCGTCTGACTGCTTTACGGCGGCTCCGGACTCCTCTTCCTCCTCGTCCTCGCTACTGCTCTCATCATCCTCTACACCAATCAGCCTCTCTTCAACCTCCTCATCAGCTTTGTTTCCAAGCTTGTTTGCAAATGCACGCCTGACAGCCGCATTCGTGCTGGTATCCCACACCGACATCGTGCCCTTGCTGCCTGCCACGGCCAGTCTGAATGCCACCTCGGCATCGGGCGCAAATGTGGTTGAGAAGACCTTTCCTACATCTAGATTTCGTGACACCACCATGCCCGGACCCGTCGGCGTAATGTTCCACAGCTTGACGGTCTTGTCTGTTGATCCGGTGGCCATGAAACCGGGAATGACGCTGTTGATGTCGAAAGATGAGACAGATTCGTCGTGAGCCTGCAGCTTCCAGACTGCCTTGCTCGCAGCCGGGTCCGGCGATGCATTTCTGATGTCGTAGTAGTGAATGACGCCGTTCTCCGTGGAGACGAAGAAGAAGTTGGGGTCATGAGGATCCCACCTGACATTCTCGACGTCGCTCTCAACACCCCATCTGGGGGCCTTCGCGTCTGGTGCTCGCATATCCGCGGCCACGACCGTTCGATCGTAACTGCCACTTAGTAGGACCGTCGACTCAACTGCGTGCCACGCGAGCGAGCAGACTTTGTCCGTGTGGTAACTGTAAGACTTGGCGCACTTGGCCGTGTGTAGATCCCAAAGCTTGACAGTCTGGTCTGCTGATGCCGATGCTAGGAGGTTGCGGTGTTTCCTGTTGGCGGCCAGAGACAGAACCGCATCCACGTGATACTCGTCGTTTGCCTTCTTTGACTTCTTCTTTTTCTTTTTCTTCTTTTTCTCTTCCTCCGCATTGCCTCCCTGGCCAAGGATAGCGTTCGGATACATGCAATCCACGGTGTCCAGGTCCCAAAGCTCGATATCAGGGTCCATCGTGCCAACCGCGACGAAGTTGGCCGTCGAGTCCTTCTCGACACCCGGTTTGCCAACTGGAATATCTAGCCATTCCACACACAGCGGTATAGCAGGCAGCATGATATCATGGTGGACGTAGAGGTTGTCCGCCTCGTCCTCGTACACATAGACCTCCAGATGAGCCATCTCATCCTCCACCTTGGCAGCAAGAACTAGGTTGTCCGTAGCAAGAATCTGGAGATCCTCCCGCTCATCCTCCTCCTCATCTTCGCCTGCGGGCAGGGTGATGTACGGGTCATCCTTGTTGTTTTCGTAGTAGGCTAGCGACTTGATGTTTCCAAACATGCCCATTTCTTGGCCCTCGGCTGTGTTCTCCTCATCGTCATCGTCATAGTGCTCTAGATCGTATTCTTTCAGATCATCGTCCATCATTTCAATACTACACCCTTGATTAGCAGACAATCTCACAAGGAAGGATGGAAATGACGTACTCATCCTCCGTTTCCGGCTGAGGTTTCGACTTCGACTTCGACTTCTTTGACTCCTTGGTGCTAGCCGGCGCCTCGCTAGGCTCTGCTTCGCCATCGTTTGCTTGTGCCTCCTCGAGATCCTCTTTCGCATCGTCCAGCTGGAGCTTGGCTAGTTGGGCAATGCGCTCGAACTCCTCCTCGTCGAAGCTGTACTTTTGCGGAAATGGGGCCGCGAAGCCTCGCGGCACCCATGTGGCAGTCGTGATCATAGACATGGCGGCCTACTGTGCTGAAAGAAAGGAACTAATCAATACTGTCTACTACTGCCACCGCAAGTCAATGACGAGAAAATCTCAAAAGATTTTGAGAGTGAACTTTTTAGTGGGGTCGCGGGGCTTATCTTATCTTTCCAACAGGTGTTGGGGTGGCTGGCTCCAGGTTGCACTGGCGTGTTTAGCGACAGCTGGATTTTCTATGCCTAGCAACACCAAGCAGGTGTATGAGCAGTCGGTTTTTCTGACGTACTGCACTAACACTGCGAACACCAGGTTGGCTAGCCAAGGACAACCTGTTCCGGTACCAGCTCCGGGCGCGACTATCACCATGGATCGAGACGGTCGCGAGGATGGCGGCTTCAATGCCAAGCGGCGCAAGCTCAACTTCAATCCTCTCCGATCCGACGATCGCTTCGGCGACCTGCCCTCGCGCAACGGCCCATCCTCCCGTGCTCATAGTCGAGTGGCCACAGGACCAAACTCGAGAAGCTCGACACCACGAGGCCACCATGGCTATGCTAGCACGCCCCAGCCACACCAGCAGGAGTTCGACGGGCCAGAGCCCGGTGTTGACCAGGAAGATGTCAATGCGCTGGACCGCGACTGGTACGCCGGCGACGAGTTTGGCCACACGTTTGGAGACGACTCGCATAACCCGTTCGGGGCGTACGATAGCTCCTGGGCGGAGAAAGAGGAGCGGGAGAAGGCTCTGGTCGAGAAGAAAGCCGGCCGCTTCGACCGCATGAGCGCACGGGCGATTCAGAAACAGAAGGACGTAGATGCCTGGGAGACAAACCGGATGTTGACGTCTGGTGTTGCACAGAGAAGATTCGAAGATGACTTTGAAGACGACGAGGAGGCGACCCGAGTGCATCTTCTGGTTCACGACCTTCGCCCACCCTTTCTGGACGGACGCACGATCTTCACGAAGCAGCTGGATCCTGTTCCCGCTGTCCGGGACTACCAGAGTGATATGGCTGTGTTCAGTCGGAAAGGCAGCAAGGTTGTTCGAGAGCGTCGCCAGCAACGAGAACGGCAGAAACAAGCACAAGAAGCTACGAACATGGCTGGCACTGCACTGGGCAACATCATGGGAGTCAAGAACCAGGACGAAGAAGGCGACAGTGCACTTCCCGTCCCAGGCGAGGATGAGGATGGCGGGAAAGGGCAGAGCACGAACAAGTTCGCAGAACACATGAAGAAGAATGAGGGCGCGAGTAATTTCAGCCAAAGCAAAACACTCAGGGAGCAGCGGGAATTCTTGCCTGCTTTTGCTGTGCGAGAAGACTTGCTAAGGGTCATAAGAGACAACCAAGTCGTCATCGTAGTTGGCGAGACAGGTTCTGGAAAAACAACGCAGCTGACCCAGTTCCTGCATGAAGATGGCTATGGCAAGATTGGCATGATAGGCTGCACTCAGCCGCGAAGAGTTGCTGCCATGAGTGTTGCCAAGCGTGTCAGTGAGGAAATGGAAGTTAAATTGGGCAGCACCGTTGGCTATGCCATTCGTTTTGAAGACTGCACGAGCAAGGAGACTGTCATCAAGTATATGACTGATGGTGTTCTGCTTCGAGAATCTCTGAATGAGCCCGATCTAGATCGTTACTCCTGCGTTATCATGGATGAGGCTCACGAGAGAGCGTTGAACACGGACGTCTTGATGGGACTCTTCAAGAAGATACTCCAGAGGCGGAGGGACCTTAAGCTGATCGTCACCTCCGCGACCATGAACTCCAAGCGATTCTCGGATTTTTATGGAGGGGCACCAGAGTTTATTATTCCAGGAAGAACCTTCCCAGTCGATGTAATGTTTCACAGATCTCCTGTGGAGGACTACGTGGACCAGGCCGTTCAACAAGTACTCGCCATACACGTTTCCATGGGCCAAGGAGACATCCTAGTCTTCATGACCGGTCAGGAGGATATTGAGGTGACCTGCGAGCTCATACGTGAGCGGCTGGATGCTCTGAATGATCCCCCAAAGCTCAGTATCCTACCTATCTACAGTCAAATGCCTGCGGACTTGCAAGCAAAGATCTTTGACCGCGCAGCACCGGGTGTTCGCAAATGTATTGTTGCCACCAACATCGCAGAGACTAGTTTAACGGTTGACGGCATCATGTATGTCGTGGACGCTGGTTATTCGAAACTCAAAGTCTACAACCCGAGAATGGGAATGGACACACTTCAAATCACCCCTATATCGCAGGCGAATTCCTCACAGCGGTCAGGACGAGCTGGCAGAACCGGTCCTGGCAAGGCTTTCAGACTGTACACTGAGAAAGCGTTCAAGGATGAACTCTATATTCAGACCATCCCTGAAATTCAGCGAACAAATCTAGCAAACACGGTGCTTCTGCTAAAGTCCCTCGGTGTGAGGGACCTGCTAGACTTCGACTTCATGGATCCTCCCCCTCAAGACACGATCACAACTTCGCTTTTCGACTTGTGGGCGCTTGGCGCTCTTGATAATTTGGGCGAATTGACGGATTTGGGAGGAAAGATGAACGCCTTCCCTATGGATCCACCTCTTGCCAAGCTTCTCATCATGTCAGAAGAGTATGGCTGTAGCGAGGAGATGGTGACAATTGTCTCCATGCTTTCTGTTCCTAACGTTTTCTACAGACCGAAGGAAAGGCAAGAGGAGTCAGATGCCGCACGCGAGAAATTCTTTGTGCCGGAGTCGGACCATTTGACGTACCTCCACGTCTACTCGCAGTGGAAAGCAAACGGGTACTCCGACAGCTGGTGCATACGCCACTTCCTTCACTCCAAGTCACTACGACGGGCTAAGGAAGTGCGTGAGCAGTTGTTGGATATCATGAGGATGCAGAAAATGGAGATGGTTAGCTGCGGAACAGACTGGGACATTATTCGCAAATGTATCTGCTCTGGCTACTATCACCAAGCTGCAAAGGTCAAGGGTATTGGCGAATACATCAACCTACGAACCAGCGTCACAGTTCAGTTACATCCCACCAGCGCTCTGTATGGCCTGGGGTTTCTACCAGACTACGTCGTTTACCACGAACTTATTCTCACCTCCAAGGAGTACATGTCAACTGTGACATCTGTTGATCCTCATTGGCTAGCCGAGCTCGGTGGCGTCTTCTACTCCGTTAAGGAGAAGGGATACTCGGCACGAGATAAGCGAGTCACAGAAACAGAGTTTAACAGGAAGATGGAGATCGAGGCTAAGATGGCCGAAGACAAGCGACGCGACGAAGAGCGCCAGAAAGCAGAGGAGGAGAAGATGATCAAGAAAGCTGCTCCTGTGAATAGGGCTAAGAAGATCGTTACTTCAGGTGCGGTAAAGAAACCCCTTGTCAAGAGGCGCGGGCGAGGCTTTTGAAAGGGGTGAACCGTCTTGGAATAGTTTCTGGATGTATGCTACAAATACTAATACAAGCTTTGAGAGCCGTGTCTGTCGTTCTCTACTGTTTTCGTAGGAAGTCTAAACCGCCGTTATGTATTATCGTTTGAGAGGTCAACGCCTGACCTCAAAGTCCTTCTCGCCTTCTACGACGTCGCGATCCTGCTTCTCTAGCTTGACCACGTGCGCATGTGAAGGGCCTTTGTCCACATCTTTCAGGAAAGCTGTGATTGCGTCCTCCTCGCCTTGAGCCTCGCCCTCGACCTGATATTGGTTAGCAAGTACTTGGATTTGATTTGTCGCTGTCTCTACCTTGTTGTTATCGGTGTTTCGAACCCAGCCCGTCAAGCCATGTCCTACTGCACGCTTCTGCGCGAAGTAGCTTCTCTGCCGTTAGTATCTGTCCAATTGCATCGGATGATGCTTGGGGATGCACCCACCGGAACCCGACACCTGATGCATCGTCAGTTGTTTCCTTTCAACCTTGAGGGGTTGTGGTTGGAAGTGCTACGTTACCTTGCACCATGCCTCCGTGAGCTAGGAAGTAGACCTGCGATACCATTAGCTTGAGAAACGAAGTCGATGTTACCACTGAGTCATACTCTACGAGCCATATTTGTCTTATGGATGGTCTAAATTCTTTATCAGGTAATCTTTCTAAGGTGAAGAGAGAGAATTGTCTTCGAATCAGGTTCTAGGTCCGAATATTCGTAGAGTAGTAGGTTTACTGAGGGAGTTATTTGCCATGAAGCTCCAGCGATTTAGTGATGTCAGTGGGTGTGTAATTGTTGGTGGGGCGCGGGGACCAGCCGTCAGAGGCTCGGGTTGATAAGATAAGCAATGTTTGGCGCCTGTCAACTGCGCATCCGATGCTCTCTGTTTGCCCTCCATTTTGCTTCTTCACCTTATTGGCTTTGCAACCTCGGGAGCTTCAGCCTTACCTCGAAAACACGCCGACAGCATCCCATCCCTCGACTGATCTCGAACTACGCACAGTACACAATATACAATGGCCTCGCCTTTGGCAGAGCCGGCGCAAACGGAGCCGCAAGTCGTGTTCCGCCCAGGCAAGAAGAGGAAGATCTACAGACAACGCGCAGAGGATGATGAAGAGGCCGCCAAACCTAAGATCGAGACACCTACAGAGCCAAAGATCACCGGTGAAGTACATCCGTCAGAAGCGTCATCGAATGTAGCGGAAGAAGAGGGGCTATCAGTAGCGGAGATACTAAGGCTGCGCAATGCGCGCAGGTCGCGACTGCGAGGCGTTGAGTTTCGTCCAGAGCAGGGGCCGAGAGAAGGTGCCGAAGCTGAGAACAAGGAAACGAGCCTTGTACTCAAGAAAGACGCAGCCGATGGGCCCAAAAGCTCCGATGCGCTGGTTGGGGGAATGACCAAGCGCTTTGCGCCACAGACCGGTATGGTGGGCGAGTTGGTCAATCAACACATGTGAGTGCCTCTCTGACGATTGCAGGATCATTCTTCATACAGCCGCTGATCAAGGAAGGGAACAATTCGTAGAATCCGAGTTGGCTAGACGACATGCAGCAGAGAAGATCTCGCAATCTTTTACGTCTCAAGGGGCTGCTCAACGGACAGCCGCGACTTCTCTCACAGGGGCTTCGAGTGGCAAGCAGCCGCTACCTGATCAACCGGTCATGCAGGGCAAGCTGCAGGAAATTGACCTGGGCGAGGAGGTGCGCATGCGCAATGTCGCGATGACTGATAAAGCACGGAGACAGCTGCAAGGTGAGGATATTATCGATGAGGAGAGCTCCGGGCGCCCAAAGAAGGTCCGGCTGGGCAAAGACGGCAAGCCCTGGCGACCGAGGAAGAGGCGCGGGAGCGATGATATCAAGCGCGATCAGCTTGTTGAGGAGTTTTTACGAGAAAACAGACGTAAGTCTTTTAATTACACTGACAGGTCCGCCTTCATCTTCCTGGGATATGCTGACAAAAACTTAGTTGACGTCTATGATGTCCCCGCACAACCAAGCCCTAGTGCAACACCTGGAATGGACGAGGCAGCGGATGAGAGGATAGCAGAGGAGTTCCGTCGCGAGTTTATGGATGCCATGACACAGAGACAACAGAGGAAGAAGACAGTGCAGCCTGCTCGACCTGGTGCGAAAGGCAAAGAGGAGGAAGTTCTCAAAGGCCCAAAGCTTGGAGGAAGCAGGAATGCGAGAGCAGCTATGCGTGACTTGCTGTTGAAGCAAGAACAGCAGAAGAAGAGATGAAGCTGGGCTTCACGTTATGGGAATCGACCTCACTATTGAGGCTATCGCGAATATGCAACATTTCCTCCAAATATGCTCGACGTTGGAGCAACTTGAGTTCGCGTTGAGCCACAAGCGGCGTTGTACGCGAGATCCGTTAGGCTACCGATTTGCCGCTGCGATCCTCACCAGATTGGGGAGATCCTTCGACGAACTACAGTGAATCATTGGTGCAAGTCTACGCTCTAAGCAAGGCTTAGTTTCCCTTGCCGAATCCTTAGATCAACACCAATAAGCACAAACTGTGCCGCATCAAAAGTCTATTGGCGCAATCAACATTGCCGCCTGAGCGAGCCACTCGTTTGTATGTAAGTCTTAATATGTTGTCAAATCCTTTGCTCAACCGTGTTCCGACTTACCAGATTTTAGAGTGGCTTACTGTAGTGAGTGATAGTGTAGAACGGAGGCTGGGCATCTAGCTCTGACAGGGGACCAAGCACCTTTCAACCATCAACGGTTTCGAATTCAGATCGATCTGATGACATCCCTTTCCGTGTACCCACGTCATTTGTATGCTCCTCAGTGATACCTCGTCGCAACTCGTCTACCGAGCACCCAATGAACCAAGTCAATAAGTTCCTTTGACCAATCCACGAGCAAATTGTGAATCTTCCTCGGTTATTGGTCTAAGTGGACCATATTCGAGAATCAACGCTGATCTTTTCAAATGGAGATTTATCGCCTCCATTGGTCGTCCATTTCATTACTCAAAACACACAACGCAGGACTCGGTAGTTCCGTACCTCGTACTGCATGAAAGTGGCTGCAAGAGGCTGGTGGCCTTGAGCTGGGTGGGCTAAGCAGTGCTGAACAAGCATACTCCGGCTCCGAATCCTTCTTCAATTAGGCAGTCCGTATACTTGGATCCCTCCATGTAACTCACCACGTAAAACTTTGCCCGTCCTTCCCTGATCCTCTTCTCTCCTGACCTTCTTGGCTCTGTTTGCTTCCTCAATCTCAACCACTGTGCTTCCCAGAGCACTTTACTTTCGCGATTGGTATCGTCTTGCCCTCACGAGACTGAACTCAACAAGAAGTGGTGACGTCTCAAGGTGTTTCAATAGCCGATGCTCCGGCAACAACGATAAGGACACGAGTTGACCTGATTTCGCCTTTCAAACTAGGATCGCGAGCAAGATGCGGAGCCATCTATTCTTGCCTATCGCGGCGCCTCTGCTTGTCATACTTGTCGCCGTGAACGGCGCAACAAACACTGGCAACATTTGCTATAATATCGACGGCTCGGTGGATTCGGATAGTTATCGCTGTGACAACTCTACGACAGGCCACACAACATGCTGTCAAGCCGGGGCGATCTGCTATTCTAATGGTGTGTGCCAGGTCATCAACAATGGCGTCGAAGACTTCCAGCGAGTCGGCTGTACGGATAAGACTTGGGCAGACCCATCGTGCTTGAAACGCTGTGGGAAATGTGAGTGGACTTTCTTTTCATACTCGTCTTGCTCTTGAAGCATCCAAGCCTATTGAAAATCGTGATTGCTAACAAGATGCAGACGCACCTGGCTCGAGTGCAGGCATAAGACCGTGTGATGGTATCCTGGAGGGGAACCACTATTGTTGTGACGATGGGTCAAACGGCATTGGAAGCTACGAGTGCTGCAAGAACGCTTCGAGCACCTTTATTCTTGGAAAGTCGCTACCAACAGTGCTCGCTCAGATGCCTCTATCGCAGCTGAGCACTACTGCGTCTACCTCGGCTACATCAAGCGCTACCTCAATGTCTACGTCCGCGACTATGCCGACGCCAACTGGAGATAATAACGACAACAATGATGACGGAGGCAGTTCCAACAGCACCACAATCGGTCTCGGCGTCGGACTGGGTGTAGGTATTCCTGTTGCGGCAGTAATCGCTGGAGGCATCTTCTTTTTCATGTGGCGATCACGGCGGAAGAATGCAGCGGCTCCGCCGTCGACATACTACGATGGGACGAGCTCATACGGAGGAGGCGGCATGTCGCAGGCGTATTCACCCGGTCAGGGCTCGTATGCGCAGCCATATCCCGGTGCGCCGGTCCCCGGATCGGACGCTGGCCACTCTGGCTGGTCGACGAGCCCGAGCCAGGGTATGACAGATGCACAGAGCGCGCAGGGCGGCTTGCTGCACAAGTACGGACATGCAGGACACAGTCCGACAGCGCAGGAAAGCGCCATGTACCAGCCGGCGAGTGAACTACCGACCAGTCCGAACAGACCGTCAGAATTGCCGTCCTGATGAGATGATAGCATTGGGCGGTCTGACAGGGTCGGTTGTAGCTGATGTTTGAGCGATGATGCATGACGTTAATTCAGGTTCACAATGACTACACTGCATATAGGAGTTTAGGGGCAGAAGCGGGCAGAAAGCATTTGCGCAATTGTGTATATTAGATCTGAATGTGACTTTCTTCTCCCGGTACCATACTTGTTCGATATCTAGCCAAGAGTAATAAAGGCAGAGACCCATCGCTGAAGAACGCGATCTAATTCTCATTGCTTTTGGTGGTAAAGAAACATTCATTATCTCAGTGATGCGTCACAGTACCGAAGAAAGCTGCGACAACCGCATAAGGATACTTCACATATCCTATAGCGAATACGAGACTGTAGGAAACAAATGTCCCTTGCCGATTTCAACCTTTCCAGCGTGACTCGGTGAGCCAGGGAGGCCTGCTGGAATACCCAGTGCCGGTAGGTCAGCGAGGCGAACCGTCATCATGACTTGGAAGAAGGAGGCCTGTCCCCCTCAGTCTAGTCAGATAACAACATTGCTTATTCCACTACGGTGAAGAAAACGCTGCCATAATAGCGAATGATATCCCTGGACCACCCCCAGGACTTTACAACTGTGATAGAGGCAACGCCACAGCATCTTTGAACAATTAGCAACGCACAAATCCATTGTCGAATGTGACTGGCTCATAGCAGTTTAGGTGTCTGATACGTAGCTGAGGGCTGGCAGGACAGATCTCGGCAATCCAGTGTTCCAAGATAAGGTATTGCCTATAAGGAGGCAAGGTAAGGTACCTGGCAACACCTGCACACCCAGGGCTGATAACGCCCGCCCACCGTTACAGTTCCTCAGTGCTGGGACGGGCCATGCGTCCTACCTCCTACCAGGTAAGCGGTATGTGACCCAGGAGAGCGTTTGCTACCGGATGTTCCCCGGAATTGGTGGCACACCGCCTGTGGCCCCCTGACGGCACCCCTCTGATCAGGCCTGAGGTGGCTTAGCGCCGGGAGAGTTGCAGTGAAGCCGGTGGCCATTGATTGCTAAACACCTGCCCGTGCAGTGTTCTGTCACCCAATGACATGCCTGTCCTGTCCCGTGCGCCTCGCATGTGAGGCCTGCATTGTCCAACTGACTGAGACCAAGCCTCTCGTCCCATTACAAACGCCCGTTTGTTTTTTCCAGATGATCCAATGCCTCCCCGTCCTCGAGTCTCTCCTCGAGTCGTTTCAGCAATCAGAACTCATAAACAGACAGTTCAGATCGCGCATCCGCACCGAAGTAGGAGAGCTTCAGCTCATATGAGAACACAAGAACACTTTGACAGCCACAGCGCATGGGCTTAAAGTCGTCGAAACGGGCCGGGGCGTTGCCGGGCAAAGCCGTCGACAGCAAACGCCGCCTAACTTTAACGTAACTTGACTTGACTTGCCCTGCGCACAACCCAGCAACCTGAGAACTGAGAACCCTTGAACCCCACCATCGCGACCACTGCCAACCGAGCAACCACGCACCCGCGCACGCAGCCTTCAACGGCAGCCTAACTCGAGACGAGGCCGATCTTACCTCCTTGAGCAAAGATACAGTCGAGACTCGTCCTCAGGTCGAGTTTTTATTGTCAACCCTCTGCTTCCAATCACCCGTCCTGCGCCTTCCAATCTGAAGGGTCGAAGCAGGCCCGTTCCTCCCTCCCGTCGATCTCGGGCGGGCGGCCCGGTCTCGAGCTCCTTCCGCGCTTCCGCTGTTGCCAATGGATCCAGATGGCGATTCGCAGCCTACCCAGCAAGGTATGTGTTCAATCTTACAAGCGAAGCCTCTCTCTAGTAGCTAATGTCTCTTGAGCAGCGACCCAAAATGTAGTCGATCCCCGGCGCTTAGGCAAGCAGAACTCCGGCTTTTCTGACGACGACATATCCGACATTGTCTGCCTCTTGCTCCCATACTCAGACAGCGCCCGCCGAGAAGTTTCCAAAATCGCTCTACGTAGCTCCAGACACATGGTGGCAAGAGACGATGCAGATAATGTGGACATCGACTACGCTTTGGAGGACGATGCTGAGAGGTTCGAGCTGACGCCGCGGTCGGCCGGCGAGCACGCCATTGTCCTGAGGCTCTCAGCTGATGTCAAGAATCCTCTACAAGGCTTCACGTTCGGCAGGAATGCGAGCAGATGCGACATATGCTTCACCAACGACCCCCACAAGAGACTGAGCAACATCCATTTTCGCATATATCTGAACGAGTATGGCGTCCTCATGCTCGAGGACCAGTCTACGAATGGCACGATAGTGGATGGGACCCTTCTGCGGGCTAAATCGAGACCGAGGGAAGAGACTAAAAGGACCCTAACGAGCGGGACGAAGATTCAGATCCTGATGCATGCTGAAGGTCTCGACCTTGAGTTCCTGGTGCGCATACCCCGCCGCGAGGGTGAATATGAGCGGGCATACCGTGAGAACTTGATATCGTACATGCACCGGTTGCAGTCCATGGTAGATGAGGAAGGGGAAACGATTGCACCAGGGCCTACAGGTCATGTGAGCTGCTTCCACCTGTCTAGTCATGCTCTTTTTCAAAGCAAAACTGATCCATGTACCCAGGTTGACCTATTTCCCGTAAACGAACCAACTCAAGGGGGTAGAACGACAGCTCGACCCACGCGGGCTTCTCCCTTAAAGCTGGTCCCCGAGACCACCCAAGACAATGTAGAAAGGTTGCCCCGAGAATGGACAGGATCTAATAAGTATAATCGCGTCGGCCAAATTGGAAAAGGTGCCTTTGCCACTGTCTACAAAGTCACCTCGAAATTCGACGGAAAGCCTTATGCGGCAAAAGAACTGGATAAGCGCAAATTCATGAAGAACGGTGTGTTGGATCAGAAGGTGGAGAATGAGATGAATATCATGCAAAAGATCGAACATGTAAGTCCACGTTTGTCTCAATTGCTGACTTTGAATACTGACACCTTCACAGCCACACATTGTCTCGTATATTGAGCATCTTGACTGGGATGACCGACTCTTCATAATTATAATGGAGTATGTCCCTGCAGGTGACCTCGGCAGGTTCATCACAGACCGTGGCCCGTTGCCCGAGATAACGGTCAAAGAAATGTCACGACAACTCATTGATGCACTTGGCTATTTGCACACAAATAACATAACGCATCGTGACGTCAAACCTGACAATATTCTCATCCAGTCTCACCAGCCCTTCTATGTTAAGCTCACGGATTTTGGGCTATCGAAGATGGTGGATAATGAGCAGACATTCCTCAGGACATTTTGCGGAACACTGCTCTATTGTGCACCTGAGGTGTACACCGAGTTTGCCGAGTACGACGAGTATGGTCGACGACATCCACGGAATAAGCATCGTCGCCAGCCGTATGGCCAGCGGTATGACCATGCCATTGACATATGGTCTCTGGGCGGAGTGATCTTCTACGCGCTGACAGGCCTTCCCCCGTATCCTGTGAAGACTGGAATTAGTTATTCGGAGCTTCTTCATCAGATCATGACTAAGAAGTTGGATATCTCACCTCTTGTGAAACAGAATGTCTCGGCAGATGGCATTGATTTCCTCACGCATATGCTACAAAGGCGACCCGAACACCGGGCAACAGTGCGGGAGCTTCAGGGGCATCCATGGCTTGGTGGCTCAAAATCATCGCAGTCGTATGACGACTTCTCAGACGATCATCTCGGGCAAAGAGCCTCTCAATTAAGCCTGCAAGATCCAGAGCAAGCGCAGCTCATCCCCGAGAGCGATGACGAAATAATCGAAGATGACTTTTACGATGAAAATCAATTCAGCGATTTTGAGTCACAAAAGGAGAATTACACATTCGGACAAGGTGGCCAACCAGGGAAACTATTTGGCGAGGTCAATGTGTCTGCCATTGGTAGCTCTGGCGTCATTCCTTCCAATCGGCTGAACCTCCCAATATCCGCTGACAGCTTTGGTGCCACGGAGATTTTGGGTTCCGAGGTCCAAGACAGCTTTGAATCAGAGGATTCTTCAACACCCAGACAAAAGAAAAAGCATCATTCTCAAAACGGAGGCGTCCGCCTCAGTTCTTATCCCAGCCACTCAGTTGATGAACTAAGTAACATGACATTCGATGTTGAATCTCAAAGTCTCGGCGGAGCTGAATCTATATTGGAGAATCTCAATATGAAGTCTGCAGCACGGCTTACTATGCCACAATCTAACGCAAATAGCTTCAGCACGAGCAAGCGCAAGCCATCGCATGACACTAGCGACGAGTTTGATGGACCACGAACCGCCGACAAACCTACCATAAAGAGATTGAAGTCCGATACGCAGATGGAATCTTTGAGTGATATTGAAAACGGCGAATATGAGCTTCTAGCAGCTATTCCGCCGATAGCCCGGCTTCACTCCGGTCGCCAGATTGATACCCCTGTACACAAATCGACTTATTGGAACGCGCAAGACAAGAAGACATGGCATCTACGATATCCGGAGATGACTCAATTACAGCTGAATGCATTCAGAGCCGCAGCAGAAGCCAGAGGCGAAGCATTCGCTCCAGGGTTGTCCATCTTCTGGGAGCTGGCTATGTCATACTTTCCGCCCGCGAATGATTCGGAAGTACATGCCGAACCGCCTTCTCCGGTCCTAGATCTCAGTTTCGGCGGCGCTCCTCTGAAGATGGAGAATGACAGTCCTGACTCTATTCCCAAGGAGAGTGACCTCCCGCCGCCGACATTGGGACCAGATGATCATGACCCAGACTCCCTTCCTGATACAATCCCTCCTGATCACAACATTATTGTTCCGATCCCCATTGATCCTCCACGGAACAGAGTAATTGCGACATTCAAGTCGTCGCCTGGATCGGCTGTTGCTGGAGTCTCGATTGACATTACACAATCTGTGACTTCATGGGGACGCGCAGCAGATAACACAAATGTCTATCCGGTCAAAATGGACGGCAAAGTTCCTAAGTACGCTTTCAAGCTCATTCTTTGGAAAGATGGATATGACCCTGCCAAGAACTTCCGACCATGGAACTCGACTGGTGTCTCGCCTAAGGATTTTGCATTCTACATCTCCACCAAAGCAACGAACGGTATTCAGATCAATGGCATGGTTTTGCAGTCATATGAACCTAAGAAGCCTGCGGGACCCTCGAAGCATTGGATACGACTCTACGATGGGGATGTCATTGTAATATGGCGAACCGGCACCGATGCTAGCCAAGCTAAACTCGACTTTAAATGTAACTGGGGAGCATCATCCACTTCACGGCCTCCCACAGGAAGCACACCACCGCCAGTATATGTGCCAGAGTCTATTGCCAAACGCTTAGATGAGGCATGCCATCGGGCCGAGAAGCGTATCGGTGGAATAGCTGAGCAAGAATTGAGAATAGAAGCTGCAGATGCAGAATTCCAAGAGAGAACAAAAAACATTGAAAGAGAGCGACAACGCTCCAAAGCGTTTGAACTAAAGAGGACAGAGGCCTGTCGATTCTTGTCAGCCAGAGCCAGCCGACGAGGTTCTCCAGGTACTGGGCAGCCAGCAGGTCAAGGCACCACAGGACCGAGTCATGCAACAGGCAATGCAACCTCCAGTACCATAAACGCAACCACGGTCGCTGGAAGTAAAATGGCACCTCCCTTCAGACATACTTCACCTAGCATTAGTCGCCTCCAAGCCATGGCGAAAGATGACTAGCCTAATGATAACCATAATTATCTAGCGAATATCTGTCTTGAGATTTGCAGATATACGACTCTCATCTGCTAGACCTGAACAATTTCATGTCATCAACCATATACTTAGACCTCTTTCTTGTCAGTCATTGAGATAGGTTCGGGCGTGGAGAGGTTTCAAAAATCACATCGATTTACACCAGCCAGCAAGCGTGCGAGTTTGTTGGTCCAGCATCCCATCTTTTTTTTTATAGGCGTCCTGTCATTATCGGAAAGGGGCGGGCGGTACTCGGCTGGGGGCAATTAGATAGAGGACAAATACCCCATGATCCTTCCCATTACGCTTTTCCTACATCGAAAAGATGACGTCGCGGCGTCTACTATGGCTGGACCTGCGGATTAGACGATACCGAGACACTTGGAGGCACTGGCTAGCAAGGGGAAAAGGGGCGAACGCACGCCTGATTGGGATTGAGAGGGGGTAGATAGTCTAATTATTTTAGGAATCGAAAATTGAGACATCACTCTATAAAGCTGTACAGGACTTAGACAAGGCGGTGATGGATGGGTATTTGATGACGGGCTGCAGTCAAGTGCAGGAATGACATCGTCAACGTCCATTCATCGTCGACCACAACAATGCGATAGTCCTCAGGAATGAACGCTAGCCCTCACAGGGGGCTACGCATGCGTGGTCTTGGGTGGTGGCTTATGTGGGCTGCCGCGACAGCAGATCCCCACCACACCACCAACACCCCCCCAAAATTCTTGGGCAGTCCGTGCTTATGGGTCGCAAATGCGAGCTGCCGACTCACATCATCCTTCCTCTGGGGGGCCTCATCACTGCCAGACCGTTTCGGATTAGGATGTGTTTCTTGTGATCTCCTCAAGGGGGCAGATACTTGGCACATCTCCCTTCTCATTCTTCCGTTTTCTCGTTATTACCACGCTCATAGTAATCAAAACGCTCGTCTTTGTTCCCTCACACGTGCAGCATTCAAGGGGTCCACTTGCCTGAGGTACCTCCCTACTCCAAAACCACCCCCGAGGACCTCTCACCAGAAGGAAGCTCCCCTTCGAAACACGCTCGACCCGCGTGGGGACCCCTGATCTGCCCCTTCACGTCCTGCCCGCACATCTGTCTTATGCCCTCGACACGGCACATACCCCAGACGATCTGACGATGGCGGGCAAGGACGACGAGCCCACGGCGCCGCCGGAACCGGCAGTCGAGGAAGAAAAGCCCAGGGAGATGCCCTCGCCATCGCCATCGCCCTCGCCAGCAGCAACAAAAGAGCAGCAGCAGCAGCAACAGACAGGAAAGAAGCCCAATGGGCCATCCGCGCCTGCCACGGCCCCACCAGCTACCAGCAAGATGGCCGTCGACGTGCCCGAGCTCGACGACTTCGGCCTGCCCATACGGACGGCCCCCGAGGTGCGGTACGAGCAGGCCGAGCATGCCGATGCCGACGCCTCGTCGTCTATTGCGAAGAAGATTGGCCTGCGGAGCAGGAGCGCGAGCAAGACTTCCAACAAGGGCGGCGTGAACGGGGCGAGGAAGAGCAGTAATGCCGGGTCGACGAGGTCGAGGGCGTCGAGCGTCGCGAGCCGGAAGAACCTCGACAAGCCGCTTGATTCGAACAGCGAGAGCGATGGCGAGGACGAACACAAGGATGCGGTGCCAAAGTCTATACCTGAGGGGGATGCTGGTGCGGAGGATGGTCCGAAGACGCCGGTGCCGCCACAGCTGAAGAAGAAGGATGGTGATAATGCAGGTTCAGATGCAAAGTCCACTGGGAAAGAGGATGTAGAGTCTCAAGACAAGAAAGAGGAAGTGAAGTACTTTAAGACAACGGAAACCGAAAAGAAGGGCCCGGATCACAAGCGGGATATCAGCCTAGCCAGCACCGTTGATACCAATGGCATGGGCGAATTCTCGCATCAGCAGCTTACTACCAAAAAGGAGGAGAAGCACGGTGAGGACGACGTTGAATGGCAAACCATGCCTGCCTATGCGCCGTACGACATATATGACGATGACAATCGTCTGATTGCAAGGGAACATGACGATGCCGAAGACGAGAAGTATGGCTATGCCGGCTTGGGTGGTGCTGGGAAGGGGTATACTCGTGTGATCATGGACGATGACGCCGAATCAGCGACAAGCATGGACGAGAACACCAGTTATTTGTTCAAAGACCCGAAATCTACGAGTATGATGGACGAGGAGCAACGAGATGCTGTATCTCAAATGCAAGCGACTAAAGACCTCCTGACGGAAGGCCAACGGATAGCTTATGTCGGCCTAACACGGCTCGAACTGTCCGTCATGGTCAAGGAGGCCGAGAGCATTGACTCAGAAAAACTCCCAAAGAGCACCAAGAAAATTGTAAACCTGGCCTCGGAGTCGATGAAGATGTGGGCGCAGAAGATGATGATCCGCCTCTATTCACACATGGACATCAGTGCCGCGGAGCAGGTCATGATCGAGCAATTGAGCGAACACGGCGTCATGCCACAGGACTTGACACCTCTGCTGATGGCCAATTCTCGAGTCAAGAACCCCATGGCGGACGGCCCACGCAGCTCTTCCTCCTTGTCCAGCAACAATCTGTCGCTCTCCTCCCCTCGTTTGTCCCTAGACGATGAAGCTGTTGCCTCACCTCCTCCGCCATACGAGACTCATGAGGGCGAGGAATTGCCGGATGTACGCACGCCGAGTCAATTGCCTACGAGTGAGAAGATTGACATTGATCTGCGATGGACGGTGCTTTGTGATCTATTCCTTGTGCTGATCGCAGATTCTGTCTACGATGCCAGATCTCGAGTGCTCTTGGAAAGAGTGGGCAAGAGCCTAGAGATCCCCTGGCTGGATATCTGCAAGTTCGAGAAGAAAGTCACTGATGCTCTCGAGATGCAACAAGAGGCCGAGAAGGAGAATTGGAATGAGGATGAGCACAAGGAGAACCGTCGTAAGATGGCGCTGAAGAGACGCTACGTCATGATGGGTCTGGCCACCGTTGGAGGAGGCCTGGTCATCGGCCTTTCAGCCGGATTGCTGGCCCCTGTCATCGGTGCCGGTCTTGCAGCTGGTTTCACCACTATCGGTGTCACAGGTACAGGTAGTTTTCTAGCTGGTGCCGGCGGTGCAGCTATCATTACCTCTAGTGCTGTCGCTTCGGGTAGTATCATTGGTGGCCGAGCTGCCAACCGAAGAACAGGTGCCGTGAAGACATTCGAGTATAGACCGCTTCACAATAACAAGCGAGTTAACCTCATCGTCACTGTTGCTGGGTGGATGACGGGCAAGGTCGATGATATTCGTCTGCCATTTAGTACCGTCGATCCCATGATGGGAGATATTTACTCTGTTTTGTGGGAGCCGGAGATGTTGACCAGTATGGGTGACACCATCAACATCCTAGCAACTGAGGTCAGCCTGGTACACTATATTTACCTTCATTAAATGCTAATGGATTTATAGGCTCTTACACAAGGACTTCAACAAGTCCTCGGCAGCACCATTCTCATCAGTCTGATGGCCGCCCTTCAATTGCCCGTTGTTTTGACAAAGCTCTCATATCTCATTGATAACCCTTGGGCTGTGTCTCTAGATCGTGCGACGTCAGCAGGACAGATTCTTGCCGACTCTCTTATTGACAGAAACCTTGGTACTAGACCGGTAACACTTGTCGGGTACTCTCTTGGTTCTCGGGTCATCTTCTCCTGTCTCCTCGAGCTCGCTAAGAAAGGAGCCTTGGGGCTTGTCCAGAACGTTTACATGTTTGGATCTCCAGTCGTGGTCAAACAAGACGAGTGGCTGCGCGCTAGAACCGTCGTTGCCGGTCGCTTTGTGAATGGCTATAACCGGAACGATTGGATTTTGGGTTATCTGTTCCGTCTTACCAATGGCGGCATTCGACGTGTCGCCGGCTTGGCCCCAATTGAAGGTATTCAAGATGTAGAGAACATGGACGTGACGGAACACGTTGTGGGCCACATGGACTACCGTACAGCCATGCCACGCCTGATGCGTGAATGTGGTTGGATGGTCGAGAGCGATGAGTTCACGGAAATCGAGGACCCGGATCCGGAGAACCATAATCAGAGACAGAGAGAGCTCATCAATGAGATCGAAGGCGCCCGCAAAGAATTAGAAAAGGAGGGCAAACCTAAGAAGGGAGCTTTCGGTGGCTTCTTCAGCCGGAAAAAGAAGACGGATAAAGCAGAGTGGGAGGTCTACGAAGAGCAGAAGGGGAACAAAGATCCAAATGGGCCTTCGAGGACGGAAGACCAGAATGGAAACAACCATGGTGTGCTCTTCGACATCGATGCTATCCGAGCTGAGCTTGCCAAGGACCAATTGCAGGTCAAAGAACTGCAGTCTACATTACCGCCAATGAAGATTCCGAGTCCAAGTCCTAGTCCTGCTTATCCGCCTCCTGTCAATCCGCGAGACTCGTTGCGGGAGACTAAGACGACCGATGCTGTGCCTTATCGGCCATCACACGAGTACAGATTGTCAGGAGAAAGGACGCCTACGATCCCTACCACGCAGACTTTCGAGAATAACAACCACGGCTTTGAGTCGAAACATAGAGACGACAACGACGGCATTCAGATGACGTTTGACACGTCATTTGAGGATGATGCGCATGGAAAGCCATTGCAGAAGAGCGAGACCAACTATTACAGATCTGCCTCGCCGGCGGCTCCGGTCCGGCCGGAGATGAAGACATCGCAGACGGTGCCGAATATTGCACTTGCTGATCCATGGGCGGACCCGGACGACGATGATTTTGGCAAGGAAAAAGAGATATCCATGACTTTTGCATAGAATCGCGCGATATATGGAGTATTTTCATTCTTTGGAACGGGAGGCGCATTCTTGGGGCATTTTCGACACATACTTAACGGTCTTTACATGTTGTAATACAGGCACTCAAGGAGCCACCGGTGTTTTTACTCCACGTCGTCCACGGACTGACTGGGGATGTTTCTTCGTGTTGAAGGGGGCATTCATAGGGCGTTTGTCATTGCCGGTCCTCGGCTAGCACTGTTCACGGTGTATAAGATAGGAGACGGGGGGTTGAGTCGATGAGACATATGCCTCGATCGTATGTTTGTGGTAGACTGTAAATCTTTGGTCTTGATAAACCTATGTAAAGAAATAGCAGTTTCAACTCCTTAAGATCAATACTCTTTGCCAGCCATGTTATACATATTCCGAGTGCCGCAAGCGCACGGCTATCGCAAGCCTTCCGATAAGCGACGTGCTTTCATCTCTTCCAGATGTTCTTATCTGCTTCTCTGAAGTCGGATCCCGTACCGACGCAATAGAGACTATTGATATCCACCCTTATCTTCTAGACTACCAACTTATGAGTAGCCTGTAGGAACCAGCCTGCCAATGCTATAGTGTTCACGACTACAGCTAGAAGGGTCTAGTGAAGCGGCCTTTATACTCGACTAGTGTCATTCAACTAGACTACAGCCGACAATGGCATGCATAGTCGGGAGCTATGGATGACCGAGCTCGGCTTCCCATCAAGTTAGTTGACTCCAGATATCTCTCACATAGAACTCTTGACCGCCCCGAGGTCCGCTGCTGAGGGGAACAGCTACATAAAGTGGCGGGAGAAGTATTCTCGACCCTGGAATTAAATAATGTCGAAACTCGCTGTTCCTGCATATGCACCACTGTAATTAAGCGAGCATGGTACGTTGGTCGCTTTTGAGCTCCTTAGGGCTCAATTTGTTGGCAGTATGCGCAGTTCATGCATTGCCTTCTACTCTTGACTCAATATCATCTGGAGATGATGGCTCCTTGAGTTTTTCACTCACTGGTATTCCGAGCTATTCTGTGAACACCGAAGATTTCTGGACTGGTACTTACTATGTTCCATCAACGGACAAGTCGGCGCCCGTGGCTGAATATCAATCATCACTTTTGCACGACTTGGTAGAGGACGAATCCTTCATTCCTTTTACGGTGTTTGTGACCAGTGCCCAAGTTGTTGTGATATAAGCTGTGTCCTCATCCGTCCATCCTCACAACACCCACGACTACAGCTCCCGGGCCATATGTTGCGAAGCTTACCAAGGATGGCAAAATCGCTCTTCGAAAAGTCTATGGCCTATTCTCGGATTACCAAGAGGCCTTTTACAACGGCGTAACCGAAAATGACGACGGCTCCTTCTCTACTGTTAACATTTGGAACACCGTTCAGTACTCACCGCTTATTCCTATACCCTATAAGTTGTACTACTCGCTGATGGACACCGAAAAGTATCCTCTTGCCGGACTGAGGTTTGGCTTGAAGGATCTTATGCCTGTGAAGGGACTGGTGACTACTGGAGGCTCTCGTGCCTATGCTCGAGTCTATGACACCCCTGCGAACAAGACCGCTCCAGCTATTGAACGACTTCTTGGTCTTGGCGCGGTGTTAGTAGGCAAGGCGAAGTTGTCTACGTTTGCTTACGGCTCATATGCTTGTCAGAACATGGACTATTCTGTTAGTGTCTTTGTTGATTGCTACCATCTCGAATCTTTTCCGTATTCGTCTGGTATCCTGAGACGAAACTCAAGCGACTTCTTAGTCAGCACCGCTAGCCGGTTTTAGGGCCTCATCGCAACCCAATTTAACTAACTTTGGCTTAGTCCTTGATTAGTCTTCATCGTGTATGGCCCCGTCCCTCTATTGAACGCCCGGATAAAGAGTCCTAAACTTGATGTCTGCATGTACAAACAGCCTGCACTGCGCAGCATGTACACAGCCACGCGCACAGGCGAAGAGAGGGGACAAGTGAGCATTATGAAGAGCCTTAAGGTTGAGAATGTAACGTGTTCAAGCAATTGATAATCAGCCGCCCCCAGGATTGAGGGCCTCCTTCCCTCCATACGAAGTAGTGGCTCCACAGTTATATACCCGGCCAGGTAGTAGTTAGTGAGTCTTCTACATAGTAGAGCCAACTAACTACCTAACTACCTACCTAGGTACTGTGTAGGCACCTAAGGTAATCAATTGCTTACTACGCTGTCCTATGGAGTGGTTCGACGAGGATCATATCGTCAAGGCCGGTCCGCCAGACGATGCGTGGGCTGTCCACCGAGAAGCCATCACCGGGCTTTTTGCGACCAAAATGCTGGCAAATGTGATAGAGATCATGAGTTGCCACCATGGATTCGTCGCGACGTACGTTCTCGGCTCTCTTTATCTCTCCCAACCTCCTCCCATCACCCTTCTGTCACGTCGGAAATGCTGACACAGGTAGGGCAGGAGACGGATGTACCAGAGAGGGTTCAAGGCCTAGGGCGTCTCGAAGAACATGAAGAGCTCCAAGAAGCTGGAGATCCTCCAGCGGCCCGACAGCCTTGAGAGCCAGTTACGGGGTGGAAACATGAGTGGCGAGGAGATGAGGAAGACCTCTCGGTTGCAGCGACACATGCAACGTCCGTCAATGAGCTCGAAGCAGCTCCAAGGCAGGGGCCATGGGGCTGCCAGATTCTCTAGACCGCCCCAGGAAGACTCCGTGTCACCTGTGAGCTCTTTGGTGAAGCCAACAGATCCAGAAAATTGCTACAGAATCTACTTCATGGAGAACCTCCGGCACGGACGCAACCCGCCAAGGTCCATCACAGCCAGCACAGGCTGCAGACCACACCAAGACATGGCTTAATAGACCTCGAGATTCGAGCAGAAAGGCCCTCTCTTGTAGCCCGTGTCGTGATTTGCTCCCTCATCCTGGAAGCCTCAGTCCCGAGAAGCTGCTGCGCAGCCTGCGCGACTCCTTGGAGCCTTGGCAGGGCTGGCATGGCGCCGCGCCACAACCTCCGATGCAACGAGAAGTTTCAGCATCACTCGCTTGTTGGGACGACATGGCCAACAGTATCTATTTTTTGAAGATTGCAGCCTCGTCCCCACGGACCTCCTGCTCGCCCTTCCGCGTGCTGGGCCAAGTCGGCAGCCGCGCGGCGTCAGTGATGTGCGCAAATCCCCTCAAGTTCATCACCTCACTGTTTTCGACCATCTTCCCATAAGCATGCGACCATGCTCTTCCGTGCGTCTTGTTCTTCTCAAGCTGTTCCACAAGGAGGCCTGCCGAACCATGGGCGTCAATCACCCGATGGCCATCATCTGCCAGGAGCTCCTGCACGACCAGGACTCTGCTGACATGTCCATCCGGGCTCTGGAGTGCATGTTGGACCTACGATCTAGCCTTGATCCATCTGACGTGTCTGTCGTTTATCGCTCGCTGGTCGCCGTGCTCCGTCGCAATGGAGACCTCGATGGGGCATTGGAGAAAGCGGCCGCGGCCGCCGAGTTGAACCGGTTTCGGCTCGGAGCTCAGTCTGACAAGGCGCGCAGAGCGGCAGCAGACCTAGCTCACGTCTACATGGCCACGCGGTCGGAGAACGGCCTCTGGCGTGCGCTCATGTACTCCTGCGCAGCTGTTGTCAGGGAGGTGTCGAATGACGTAGGGATGGGCGAGGAAGCACCATGCTATGGAGATGGGATCGCTGTGTATTCTATGGAAGACATCGCGGAGATATATCAGCTCTAGGGCAATGTGGCGGGCAGCGTACAATGGCTGGAACGAGCGGCCGCTGTTGCGTCAGGTGTCTGGGGCCCGGACTCCATTGCAACTCTGCATATCATCGACAAGCTCACCCTTTGGAAAGAAAGACAGTGTGAGCGAGAGACTATGGGATTATGTGCTTGACGGCAAAAGACTCCTCATCATAAGGCTCAGTCAAGTCCAATATTTTATTTTAGTTTCTTTTGCTCAGTCTTTTCCCGTTTTTTTCTCTATTTTCCCCCCCTTTCTCTTTTCCCTCTTGCTTCGCTTTATGAATTGATCTGGTCGAATGAGAAGATGCTCTCTGAGGGAATAGACTTACAAAGTTAAGAAGAGCGGCGGTCGTGGGCATTGAAGAAACGTTGTTTATTGTATTTGTAAGATCTAACAGAGAAATGGAGAGCAGGTCTTATATAGAATAGACTGTTAGCTGGAAATGGACGGGAATAGGGCTGGCCCGCGCGACAGGTTAAGCAGTGAACCTACTTTGGTTAGATTGATAGTTCTCTGATGAAGTGATCCCGTTTGTCGTGGACCTGGGCTCGGATGGCCGTCCAAAAGAGATCGCACATCCTGCAGCCGCTGGCGGCGCGGCAGAGTCGCGCAGGCCATTGAGGCTTGGGTGGTGATCGGCTTCGCGGTTCCTCACCTCGTCGATCGTCACATTCCGACACAGATCGCAGAGCGCCATCTCTAAGGCCGCTTGGCTGGGGTTCAGGCCTTCATCAGAGCTGCCTGGGTGATTTCCGAGTTGCCCCCGCGCGCGTAGTGTCCAAGCTCACAGCTGGCGTATCGCTCTCGGTTGATTATTGATGCTTGCAGGATGACAGCAATGAATCTGAGGCAATTCTAGCCTACCTAGGTATGCACAACGAACGCAACCTAGACTATTGCATATTGGCTCAGAATTTTTGTATGCGACGTTGCTGTGTGGCCCGGGATTTTGATCTACGTAGTTACGGAGGATGAGGGCAGCGGGCGGCGGGTGAGCCTCTTGGAAGCCTGCGTCCCCGGAGGGGGGGTGGGGGGTGTTAATAAGGAGTAGATGATTCTCTGAAGGCGAGCCGATTGCAAATCATCCTCCTATATTTCCTATTTTGCTTATCTCACAAGCTATATCAATCATGGTGTATTCCATCCGGGCTATCATGTATCCCATGATGTATCACGAACTTCACTTAGTCGATAGCCTGAACTATTTCGTACCCTCAACCAAACCAGCCAATTTGTCCCGAATATGCCCAAGCTGCGCGGTCTCACCCCAGACTGCCACGCCACTCGATCCGGCTTGCTTCAGCCATGCCACAGCCTGGCCTTGACGTCCACAATGCTGGCATATCTTCGCAATATCCTCCATTGTCCAGACGGCACATTCGTCACGGTGTAGCGGATCGGGAAGATCCATCAGCAACCCCTTTTCAGGCCGCTGACCCACAATCTCAAAGCACACGTCCAGAGCGCCGGCCAAGTCATTCATGTCGATGAGTCCGTGCTCCAGGTATCTGGATGTTTGGCGCCTCTGGGGCGGGTAGGTCCCAGTGCGGTCGTGACGGCGTCAATGGCATCTCTCGACATGCGCAACGCCTCGGCGTAGTATCTGCTGCGTCGTAACAGGCTTATCAGGCGGGAGGTCGCGAGGAGAGTGAGCTCATGGGCAGGACCGAGAGTCTGCCGCAGGCATTCGCAGACCAGGTCCAGGGCTTGTAGCGACCGATCGACCTGCTGCTGCTCGTCTTCCAGCTTGTTTATGACGAGCGGGACTGGGTGGCCGCGAGGAAGAGTCTTGTCTGCCGACGCACTGATAGAACGAAGAATGCTTGGGCGGATGAAGCGACAGACGGTGGTATTCACAGGGGAGAGAGTCCCGAGAAGCTCGATTAGGATGGTTGCGGCAGTCTGAGCAAATGTTTGGTCGCTGTCTATGGTGGAATTCTGCAAAAGATCAAGCGCGCGTGTCTGGTCGGATACTTTCAACAGGTAGATGCTATAACTTGTATCCTTCCAGAACTGCGTTCTTTGTACGAGGAGCGACTCATCGAAATGCACAGTTGTGTAGAAAGAACGAATGTGAAAGACTAAAATGTCTAGGCTGTCGTACGAAGGCCAGTTCTGCGGTCGTAGAACGGAATGCATTTCCTCATTGTGACTCGAAGGAAAGCAGTAGTCCTGCCGTGAACTCTTATTCTGACGTAGACCATGAATATTGATTTCGGGACCCGGAACTGGGGTTTTGTAGACTGGGTCCAGATTGCTCCTTGCCCTGGAGCCATCATTGTCAAGGGAGGAGGGTAATATTCCTCGTAGAATTCCAAGATCGGAAGAACGGTCGGTGCTTCCCAAGATCTGAATTTCCAGTGTCCGGGGTTGGCGAATTGCCTCATTGATCCTCCTGATCTCTATTGACAGTGATGTAATCGAAACCTGGTTATACGAGAGCGCATGGCTGAGCAGGGCATGATTTTCCGCCAGACGTTCGTTTGTGAGAACTTGGCTTTCAAACATCAAGATTTCCAGCTTTCGACTTAGGTCCATGTTGAGTATCTCCAGCCTCTTCAATTTCTCGAAAATCTTGTCTTTGATCTTGTGTCGTGACATAATGGCATTCCAAATATTGCGAGGGCAAGTTTCCGTCTTGCGGCTTTGGGGGGAGGTGCGGGATGAGCGGACGTCATCCAGTGCAGTGCGTAGTGTATTAGCAGAGAGAGTGAGGCGAATGAGTTGTGAATGATCGAGATGATAGAATGCCTTGGATCCTGGTTACAATATCCTGTTACACAGATGGTCGAGGCGCGTTGTAGATTCGTTTATGTCACCGAGAAGCGTGGCTAGTCTCTTCGGCGCGTTCTAGGGATCTTTCAGTGCCCGTGTCATTCTCACCCGGACCTCGGCGGTGGTCTGGACAAGCTGAAAAGCTGCAGCGGCGCCGCCAATCACAGCTAAAATCTCAGCCATGTCCACAAAAGGATAAAGACGGAGCGTCTTGTGGTGGTTGATGGCGTACAAGTCCGTGGTTCCCCAAGAGGACGAGAGCCTCTCCAAATACGCGTTGGACTTTACAGAAGCAGAAAAGGCAAGAAAGCCATTGTGCCGAAGAAGTATGTTCCGTCACGGCACTGGAGATGCACATTGTCTCTCAATAAATCATGTCTGCGCAGTTGTGTCCTGTTTAGGCGGCCAGCGTGAGCATGCAATGCCATGCATCGCAGAGCTCAGCACAGCCAGGGAGGCGAGGGCTTTAGTGGCGCAGGATGACACACCAATCTCAGCAGGCCTCCAAAGATGCCTATCTATGGATGTTCTTCAAGGTGGGTAGAAGCTGGCCGACCTGAAAACATCTTCTTTTGCTAAAGGCTACTGGGTTATGAGATTCAAGCCCGTCTACCTAACGTGACAAGACCCCCGGGGTCATTGGAAAACATCCTATTGACACTCGACGAGGCTACGAGTACACTTCCGGTTTCATTGTTGACGAGTTACTGATTCCAGTCTACCTATTACAAGGTCAGGCTCAGCACCAATCAACCAGACTGCGTTAGTGGCCTTACAAGAAACAAAGTTCCTTGCTGTCAACATGCCCTGAGCTATCGGCAGCGATAGCTCAGCTCATGCCGTAAGTGAGACCAAGACCGTCTTCAAGCAACCCGATTTTTGGTTCAGTGATTATGACAACAAGAGGTATTATTCAGGACTCTGAGGACTCTCCTTCTTAGCCAAAGGCGCGCAAGTCCCTGTAATTCATACTATTACACATCTTGGCTTTACCAAGGATTAGATGTTCGAGATGTTTAATGCTGCAGGTTTGGGAGAAGTTGATTATTGGTGGTACACATCGCGCTCTCCGCGTCAAACAGATATCGGGGGTGAGCAGCAATTATTTTTTCGCAAAAGCAAAGATCCCATCTGCATAGTCATGACTTTTCAAAAAGTCTCGTATCATAATCAACCCCCTAATTTTGGTGGCAATCATGATGTCCTTTAATACAAGAAACTCGATTTACAGCTTTCTTCCAGCTTCTTGGCTAGATCGAAATATACAAGATTCATCAATTGCCCCATTCTTACGTGCAGTAAGTATCGAGGGCATCATATCCCCCAAAAGAGGCCACTGGGACTGTTGAAACCCCATTCGTCTGACAGCGGGATCGTCCAGTCTATGTTCAGCTCTCCTGTCCCCAGAAGAGAGTCTGGCGTGGAGTTAGAATCCGCTACGAACGAAAACTCGTGCTCGAACTCGGCGGATCTAGATGCTGGGGGAGATTCGCTGGGATCCGCTGGTAGATATCTTGCTGTTGGAGTTGTTCTCCCGAGTATGCTCGGGTGCTCAATCCTGTTGGCGCTTGTTGGTTCACTTTTGTTGGGGCTCAAATCATCGTTGTGTAAAAGTCCCGCTTCGCTTAGCAGCTGCTCCATTCGCCTCAAGCGTTTGCATAGCCTCCCGGATGCTAGTGAAGACTTGCTATATGTATTCGCAAGGGTGTATGCTTTCCTATGATTCTGACAGATAGATTGAGCAAAGTTGTTAGATAGAATACCCAAGAGACTGGTTCGGTTCTGTTCCACGTATGCAATAATGAGAAACATGAGCTCACAGGATGTGGCTAGGAGATGCTGGAAGCAGGGATGATGTGTACGATAGATATCCGTCTTCCTATCTAGAATAGAAAGCGTGTCGATAGTCTCTGTGATGATGTCGAGGCCGGGACGTATACTCCTGTGGCTTGCAGTAGATGTGTTGGAGAAGAAGAATGGTCGGAGTAACATGGCCCTTATGGCATTTGCTCGAAGATGAATGAGAATAGCCCACGCCGGAGGGAAATTGGAGGCTGACTGATCGATACGAACTTGCTGAAAGTTGTAGCCACCAACTGCCTTTTTCCGCCACTGCTCGATCTGGAAATTCATAGTCTCGAATTCATCGTCATCCTCATATCTATCCCCATTAATAACCCTTGAGCTTGGTTCGCTAAACTTATCGCTTATATAAACAAAAGAGATCATTGCCTTGAGATAAGGGTCCCTGGCCTGAACGTTTGCTCATTAGATACACCTCTATTAAGTTTATTGTAGGGAATTGGCACATACTAATGATTCAAGCTCCAGCTCAAAGTCGGTATTTGAGAAGTTGTTTGGAAGTCCTATCGCCGCACTCCACTGGCGATCCAAGACGACGATGCTTGTGGCTAGAGTGGTATACTCGACCCATTGATGATCCATGCTTAAGACTTGCCGAGCCACATCTTGTTTATGTAGACCAAGCTCCATCAGCACGCGACCAGCCAGCCCGCACATTCGCCAGGCATGTCGCATTGCGTCTTTATAAAAGCTATAGAATCCCTAAGAATGTTAGTCGCTATTTTAATGCTTAAAGTCTGGCTAAGAAGAATTCTACTTACTACAAGAAGCAGAATTACTGCATTCTTCATATCAACACTTTCCTCCATAATCTTCAACTTAATAAGCTCCTGACAACCAGCATATATCCTATCTCTTAGCTTGTTCTGGTTAGATCCAGAGGCGGTAGACTCTATACAGAGTGAGATAGCTATGGCAAGGTTGACAGCAAGCATGTTATGCTCGTCCAGGGAGGTAAGCCCTATAGGATACTGTTTGTTTGGCCAGGTGTACCACTGCTTGACCTGTATTATAAGCAAGTCTATATCCAGAATTTGATGGTACATTCCCACCACTTCTTGATATACAAGTAATGCATGAATCGCTTCCCAAGCGCTAAAAGAATTCCGAAACTGTAGCAGCTTTTCAAATACTGAAGGGTTCACCGCCCGATAATGCGACCCTGCTCCTCTCTCCGGCTCGACACTGTTGTTGGCCTCTGTATCGTCATTCTGGTGATCATCTATACTCGCAAGGTGTCCACTGTTTAGACTTGGCTCCGGGTAGTCTCCTTTGCGCATTTTCAGCTGTGCTATGTTCAAGCCAAAGTCAGGGCTTGTGGGACCATAGAATTTATTCCCCAATACCGAGACGGCTATGCTCTCATTACTTTGGTCCGTCGGCGACGCATCACAAGGATTGGACAGCCCATTGGCTGCAGCGGACCCTATGCGAGAAGATATCTCACTTCTTTGGGTTCCAACAAGTGTATTGCTATCGGATGCTGGGGAGAGTGGGCTGCCCACACCGTGCCGACCCTTAATCTGCTTCATTTGGGCCTCGAGACTGGTGATCTGGCCCTGCAAATTGCCCACAAGCGTCTCGAGGGACCCGAATGCTCTGGCGGGTGGTGTTAGTTTCCAAGGCAAAGATGGGAAGCCAGGGCTGGACAAAGCAACTTACTCGGATAGCCACCCTGAGGGAGGCGGACGCGCTACTTCACGCACCTGGCTAGGCTGGGGATTCATCACGCTGGATCGCCATTCGCTAGGGAGCGGCGAGAAGTGGCAAGGCTGGTTGCGGCCTGCGCAATATTCGCATGGCTGGCTCCCGCAACATCTCCCTTTACGCTTTCTGCAGGCGTCACAGGCGCGGACGACATAGGGAACCCTCCGCTTTCCGGCATCGGTGTCTGAATTGGGGGCAGAGCGCTTGATCCCGCGCGTCGCTTGTGTTTCGCTCATACTTGGGGATGCCTCAATCAATGGCAGCAATCGTCGATTTGGCAACACAATCCTGGACAGATTGTGGTAGCCTGGGATGGAGAGATCCCTCCCCCCAATGTTTTCACGTCTAGGTTCACCGCTGGCAAAGCAACCGGGTGGTTTGGCTGTGGTTCAATATGGCGCGCTTCTCAAAGGACAGTGAACATGTAATGGCCGACTGTGACGCAGCGACCAACGGTATGACGCTCTCAGGGTTTCACACAAGGAAGTTGGTCGTGTGGTTGAAAGAAGTCCCCCACTTCACACTTCACACAGTAATATGTGTCAATCCAATTCGAGATTCGGGAATGGACGCCACCTGATACGCAAAGCGGAGGCGTTGATCAAGGCTAGGAATTAGTGACTAATGGAGCTTGGGCAGGCTATCTAATGCTGGGCTATTTCTTAGAGCGTGCATAGTCGATGGCGCGGAGAACTTTGGAGCGAACGATAAAGGTCAGACAGCGGGAAGAACGGATCTGGCCAGCCTGCCAGCCTGCAGGAGGTAGAGCTCTGATAATCAGCATCTTATTCCAATTGACCAGGTAGTATTGCATTGATGTATTGTAGGTATTGCAGGGTAGGTATTGTAGGTATGGTAATATCTATTACTCGCTATCTCACTGCTTCGCGCGATTTGTTGAGACTACTGGAAATCAAAAGAAGCTGGTTCGCCCAATTCTCAGCTCGAGTCAGTGATGCGTACTTACATGTACATACGTAACCGGCAGATCGATCGGAAAAGGGCTCGGAAAGCTTCCGAACACAACCGTGCGCGGTCCGCCCACAGCAATGGGACAGCGCTAAGTATCGCAGATTGCCTCTAATAGAGCAGCCACAGCAAATGTTGGCTGTGGGGGCTCAAACGATGGCGAGGGTTATCTGACACTGACAGGGGCAAGCCCCTGGTTCCCAACTCAATAGATGCCGTCCTCTTTTCAATATTGTCAACCTTGCCAAGCGCTGGAGGTAATAATCGCCCACTTTGCAACAAATAGTAGCTTGATACTAACTGACTATGATAGTCACTAGGCAATAAACTGTTAGTTATATCATAACCGTGTTAGTAGATGGGCGATTCTTACCTCCAGCACTTGCTTGCCAGGATATCACTGAAAATAGTTTGGTACATTGCAAGTCGGCAAGGTGGCGAGCGTAGATCACGAGGATTAGAAATAAGTAGATGGCAATTGTTCAATTCAATATCGGAAGCATCAGAGTTGCGATTGCTTAAGGTTGACGATTGTGTTGTAAACATTTACGAATCCTTGATCTGTAATCTAACGAAAGGAAGCCTGATCCTGCCGATAATGGGTGTCCTTTGTTATCCCAAGACTGGTACCCAAAACGTCACATGACTTCCTATCACCCGTCATCGACTCGCATGATTGGTAAATGTTTTGTAGTTCCGTAGCTATCACCCATAGATTTTGTCGATGAGAAAATACAGCAGTACCTATGGACCACACACAATAACACAATGGCTTCAGGTCGATTGGCGTGAGTTGACTGACTGATCAACAGCTAAAGTTGGGTGAGATCTAGCTCATTATATACTGGGTACGTTACATGGGTTGTAGGATGCCTGTCTAGCATGATACACGAAAGTGGGTAGTGAAGCAGTAGGGAGACAAGTTCCACCTCCACAGAATATTTCGGCGATTCTTGTTTCGACCGAGATCTATAGCTTGTACGAAACCAAACAGCAGAGCGTAAACTGCTCCTATATTTGAATGGCAGTTGTGTAACTCCGAGGACCAGCTGGCTGCGTCACTGGAACTTCGCGGATTTTGAACTGTAACATCTCATTCGACGGCTCCGAACCCCTATCTCTCAACTTGGAAGCACTAGCAGTGCCCGTCACGGGCACGCGGTACTCGAAATGGTTGCCCAGAGCCGGGGTCTTGCCATTAGGGAGGGGGTGAGGGAATGGCAGGTACTCGGGTAGAAGGCCGAGTTGCCTCAGTACCGTGCCCTGATCCCAGGAGATATGTTCGTGGTACAGACGGTCTCCTCGGATATTGACGACTGCAGTGAACGGCACCTCCAACTTTAGTCCAGTTGGAGGTATCCCAGGGATGCTGATTCCATTTACTCAGTACTGAATAGGCGATAGTGTCAGGAGAGAAAGCTTACAGCCAGTCAATTTCTAGATCGTGTGTACACTTGAGAATGAACTCATCAATGATCCTATCGATGGCTATCGACCGACTCACAAGCTCAAGAGTGGTATCAGCGGAATTGTTGAAGATGAAATTGGATCGATAGAAGTTGGTTAGCGCTCCACGGCCAACACCACCAGTTAGCTGCAGTGGGAAGAATTAATATTGATAAACAAACAACCAGGGGCAAAGCAGGCGAATGGGAAACATACGACAGGAGTATGATTCACGTATGGTTCCTGAACCATGGTGCTCATAGTATGTTCGACTGAGCGATCGGAGAACTCATAATAGGTATGCTCATCCCAAATTAACTCGAGATCAAAATACGGACCAAGCATGCGTGGCTTGAGATGAGAGAGACTACGCGTGTGGGAAATGGCTTCAGTTGTGTAGTTGAAAGCACTTTGGAAGGGAATGGCAAACTTGTAAGATTCAACGCTCTCATAGTAGTATACTGTCAGAGCATCTGATTTCACTGGTCTGCCGCTAGATTTTCCAGCAAGATGATAGATCGTAGGCGCCGGCACGACAGGCAAAGATGTCTCCTGCGCAGCATCTGCATATATCACTACTCCTGCGACGCTAGGAATCACGGCCACGGCCTTCGCGGCTTGAACCCAAGCTTCCGGATCATAGGCTATGAAGAGTAATCAGCAATTTATTCATACAAAATAAATGATAAGCAAAATTCATGTGAAGCCTTAAAATCGGTGAGAGAGGCCCCAAGCACAGAAGGGGCAGCAGATATGTACAGCGTGAAACTGTCATACCAACTATTCCAATTCTCTCCTCAGGCTGACACCTTTCGTCAGACCACAAAGCCTTAAGTGCAATCGAGAGTGCGTTGGTAGCTCCACCGTCTTTGATAGCCTGGATTTGGATCTCCACCACGGTGTAGCCCTCCTCGGCCCACTTGACAAGGTGAGACGGCACTCCCTCGGCGATCTTCATCTGCTCGTCCGCGTCGGGAACAAGCAAAATGAGTCCAGGGCCATGTCCACGCCTTGTGAGAGGAGGTAGAATAGATATACCAAGCCCAAGCGGCTGAAAACAAGAGACCGGCATAGGCGGCGGTGGCTTTGTAATGTCGTTGAACATGATGTTGAAAGCTGAGCCGTACAAATAAGTCTAATTGATCAAGAAGAACAAGTCATAATTCATATCAAGCGGTAGAGCTTTATTGAATCTCGGTGTAAGTGTAGGTTAAGCTGTGTGGCACTTATGTAAATATTCAGATCTCGCTGTGGCGCCTGGTTGACTCGCGGCGCTTCCGGCATACGGAAGGTGGGACCAAACCCCCGTATATATAGCGCAGGTCTCCGTTTGCTCCGAGGAACTAAGAATAGTAACGATTGTACGCAGGTCAAGGCCTTGTTGTCAAATATCTCAAGCTTGTTGCATCCAGTATAACATACACCGTTGAACCTTCACAATATCGTCACAAACAGGCGCCCAATACAGGCTGAAAGTTAACGACATCTCCCCATCGCCGCTCCATAAGAAAACAAAATGGCAGACAAACTTGACAATGTGCGGCCCATGTTCGAGCTGCGGGAAAGGAACTACATTGTCACCGGGGGAGCGCAGGGTATTGGCTTTGCAGCAACTCGTGCAATCAGCGAAATGGGCGGCAATGTCGCAGTTCTCGACGTACAGGACAAACCTACCGCAGAATTTTACACACTTGGATCGCGATTTGGGGTCAAAACTTTTTATATTCAGACAGACGTTACCAAGCAAGACAGTCTGATTAAGGGTTTCGAGGCTGCACTTGCTTCACTAGGAACCATTGATGGATGTGTTCCGGCAGCAGGCATTGCTATTGACAAGCCATTTGTTGATCAAACCTGGGATGAGTTCACGCGGATCCAGGAGATCAATGTGAGTAGCGCAAATCTATTTACCACAAATGCAAGTCACGCTGACTGGATCACCAGGTCCGCGGAACGTTTTTCATCGTGCAATTAGTCGCCAAACAGATCATCAAGCAAGGCACCGGAGGTAGCTTCGTCCTGATCGCCTCACAATCCTCGCACATTGGCCTTCCGGGATATAGGATGGCGGCTTACAACGCTTCCAAAGGCGGCATACTCATGCTGTCGAGAGCCCTGGCCGTGGAACTAGCCAAGCACAAGATCCGCGTCAACACCATATCGCCGGGCTTCGTAGACTCTGAGATGACAAGGAACGTGCGCGCTGCAAAGAGCAAGCGAGAAGGAGATCAAATGTGGCTCGCACCCCCATTGCAGCGACTCAGCACGCAGAATGACCTGACTGGAGCCATTATCTACCTCCTAAGCGACGCTGCCAGACACACCACGGCGACCGATATTCCTATCACGGGCGGTCTTCATGCAGGCACCATTGATGGTGTCATTAGCCACGAAGAATGATGTACATAGTATGAGCAGAGATCATTACAAAAGTATCAGTGCATTTATCACAATTTACCTACATAGGTGTATTTTATTGATGGGTTATAATCAAGTGCACATAAATCCAAGTGAGAAGAACCGTGAACTTTGCTTGTCTGTTTATGATTAGTTTGATTTCAATTGTTACACATGGGCACACATCCTAGTTCTCACACATCTTAGTTTCTCCAGGATCAAAATCTGAAACCCTGTTCATGAAAACTTGGAAAGGTGCCCAGAGGTGATAGGCCCCCCCCCCCCCCCCCCCCGGCCCTCTTTTCACGGCGCACTACGGAAAGGGGTAGGCTCCACCTTCCGGCCAACGGAGGCTAAGGATAGCATCACCGAAGCTTTCCGACCCTTCGGACCACACACATCTTCGAACTACAGCCTCTCTACAGAAGCTGCTCAAGCTCCTCCCCGCAGACCCTAGCCACCTGGCCATATGCATCAAGCAGAATGCCAATTAGAAATAGTCCATCAATCTGAATGAGAGACCGCTTATCAGTCGGACTAGGACAGGGGAACGAGCCGCTAGAGATACGGTGCCAAGCTGGTTACGAGATAATGACTCCTGGATGGGCTACCCTATGTTATAACCTCTCGTTCCGGTCGTTCTGGTGGTCCTGAAAGGTCTGCGTCTCAATCTGGGAGATCTCTTACTCCCTCTTGTCTGACTCGTCGAGTCCACACAATCGATCACAGATATCGACACTCGTAGTGCTCATCCCCAAAGAACAGCGCACAATGTCTGAGGCATATGATATGGTAGTGGTGGGATCGGGTAAGTGTTGCTGTTTATGTTCATAACCTGCCGAAATGTCCTGAATGTGGCTTCATAGGGTGGTTTGGGCTGGGTGCTGCCAGGGCGTACCTCGAGACTCACCCCAGTGAGAAGATCGTCGTATTCGAGTCCAACGAGAGTGTCGGTGGAACATGGTCAGAGCACCGACTGTACCCGGGCCTGAAGTCCAACAACATGGTCGGCAGCTACGAATTCCCGGACTTTCCAATGAGTGAAGAGGTCTACGGTGTCAAGGCCGAAGGGCACATCCCTGGTGCGGTTCTACACCGCTATCTCACTGACTTCTCTCGTGCATACCGCATACACGAGCGCTTGCAATTCCAGACGACAGTTCAACTAGTCGAGCCCACGACTTCAGGATGGAGACTGACGGTAGAGTCGCCTCAGGGCCAGCGTCAGGTCGAAACCGCCAGGCTTATTCTGGCGACGGGCTTGACGTCGACGCCTAACATGCCTGACTACAAAGGGAGCGACAGTTTTGGAAAGCCGCTCTTCCATGCCAAAGACTTCTGCACACGGGCACCAGAGCTTGAGGGATTGAAGAACGTCGTCGTAGTGGGTGGCGCGAAATCAGCCTACGATGTCGCCTACGCAATGGTCGAAGGCGGGGCAGAGGTCGATCTGATCATCAAGCCCGAGAGCACCGGGCCAGTGTGGATTGCACCACGTAAAGTTACCCCTCTGAAGCATCGGACTGACACAATTCTCAACGTCCGCTTCATGTCGTGGTTTAGCCCCTGCCCTTGGGGTGCCGAGGACGGGTACGGCGCTGTTCGTCGGTTCCTGAACAAGACGTTCATTGGGTGTGCATTGACTCGGGGCTTCTGGAGCTTAATAGGCAATGACATACTTCAAGAGCATAAGTATGACAACCATCCAGAGCTCAGCAAACTGAAGCCCTGGAACTCTGTCTTCTGGATTGGCAGTGGTCTAAGCATTTACAACTACAATACCAGTCTTTTCGATATGGTACGCGCCGGGAAGATCCGGGTCCACATTGAGAATGTCGACCACTTAGAAGCGGGAATAGTTGTGCTCGAGAGCGGGCAGTCAATCAAGGCCGACGCCATTGTATGCTCCACAGGATGGAAGAAGGAGTCCACCCTCAAGTTTGCCGGGCTAGACGAACAAGCTCTTGGGCTTCCGTTTTCGGAGGAGCTTCAGACAAAACTCAACAGAGAGTTTGACGGGCGAATCCTTGAGGACTTTCCCATCCTCAAGGATCAGCCTCAGCTACGATTCCAGCGCAGGCCGGCCGAGCCGCTGCGATATTACCGCTTCATGGTCCCTCCAGGCCAGCTTAAAAAGCGGAACATCGCCTTCGCCGGCATGATCTCATCAGTCAGCACAGCTATCTGCGCCACTGCCCAGGGCATCTGGATATCGGCGTTCATGGATGGCAAGCTTGAGCGTGAAGCGAAGACACAGGAGGAGATCACTCAGGAAATTATGTTGCATACTCAATGGGGCAAGTGGCGGTATCCATGCGGCTACGGTGCCAGCCTTCCGGATCTTGTCTTCGAAGGCATCCCCTACACTGATATGCTGCTGAAGGATCTTGGTATCAAGAGTCATCGCAAGCCCAGCCTTTACAAGGAGCTGACTCAAGCGTATGCACCGGCCGACTACAATGGTGTGATGGACGAATGGAAGGCGAAGTCTGGAACGAAAACTTGGAATAGCTAGACGTATCAAGAGACGTGCAGCCTTTGAATGCAGCCGCTTTGTGTTTCGTTCTCCTTTCCTTCTGTACGGTTATAGAAGTCTTTTCAGGGGAGTTGATTTCCAAGCCTTTAGTATCTTGAAGACGACAGAATCTTAGTGTGCAGTCCTGAGAGAATTGTCACCGACAAAACACAAACATCAGAATTCAGAGCTCAGAATGACAGAATGTTGCTATCACTACTTCTAGGACATGATACACTACATGCCGGTGCCTGTTCAACAAGTCTTTGTCGCCAGACTAGCCAGCGTTGGTCGCGAATTCACTATTGTACGGGCATCCAGCCCGCTTTCATTCCATCATCTCAGCGTAATCCAACATCTTCTCCTCTTCGTCCTCATTGCACGGGAACAAGTTTCGTGAACCGTCTCCACCGGGTGAATGCGAGAGGCAATGTCAGTCGCTGTTCCCCACACATCGATTCCAGGCTCCATAAGCTTGAACTTGTTTAGCAGTATAACTGAGATTCTGTACAACATTCTAGAGACTATTATCTTGCTTAGTGAGTCTTCTTATTGATGATCTCATCCTGTCGCGTGCTAGGTTGGCTGTGGGGATCGAACGCTGTAAGCTCTTGATCAATTTCTATGATCTAATTTGCCAAATCCAGAAGTACTCCACTTTCCTGTTAGGATCATTTGTTGAAGGGTTGAGAATCATAAACTTCATGCTGAATACTGTCTAATATTCTGATCTGTGTACAAAGAGCTGTATGAAAGTAGGGGCAGGTTTATAACCCCAGAATCGCAATACAATTCCCTTGTGCGATTCGGGTGTGACTTGACAGATTGTTGTACCGTCGGTTTAGCTCAAGTTTTCATAGATAATCGACTAGAGGACTCAGACCCTGAGCCGTGCTGATCTTCTCTTCGAAAAATAATTGAGTCTTTCCACGCGGACTCGATCGCCCATAAAGCGTTCGAACCCTATGGATTAGTAGACTTTACGTCCATAAGAGCAGGGTAACCGCCAGGGGGAGGCAGAGCCTTCAAGATGCTCCAGCTTAATAAAATCAATTGGTGATCCTCGCTTAGTATGAAGTTATATAATAGTCTAGTATCTTTGGGGTGGGGAGCATTCTTGAAGATGGTCGCTCTCTTTGTCTAGCTAACAAACGAGCCTTGAGTGAGGATAGATATATTCAGCGATTCGAAAGGGAGAAGTCCTACAGTAGAGGTGAATGTTGCTGAGACAGTACTATTGATATCACTTAAGAGTGTTATAGATATAGCGGTTCTTTATACTTAGCGAGGGTTTTGGTCGAGAAGCTTCTTGAATAATTTATAGCTATATTGTTATCTACTTGATCAAATTGTAAGTCAAACTACTAAGATACTGAATAAATCTCTAAAGACGACTTATATTAAGTCAAATGCATATAATACTATATCATCATCGTTGTTAGAATAAGTTACACTAACTTATCTTTAAATTCAAACCTAAGAAAGTCTAAAAACTCTTTAGAACCTTCTTATAACCACTCTATATTCTAGATAAAGATCCATAAGAAGATGCCGATTCTATACTAGACGGCCCGAATATCTCAAAACGTAGGGTAAACTCTATAAAAGTTCAAAGGCTGATAATAAAGCAATATACCCTCCTAATCCCACCTCAGATAATCCTAGAGAGTCTACAGAATCACACTATCTATATAAAGACTATTTATAGCTAATCAATGATCGATATTTCCATCATGATACTTAGACATTGACGATAATATTGTAAAGTGGGGCCATTCGGCACCCCGATATGGCTGGCCACCCTGCCCAGCCACCACCGCCACCTAGACGACATATGAGCTATATAACCTCCTTAGCAAGTATAGAGTTTTACTACTCTATAAGATTCAGTCTTACCATCAATAGAGTATCTACTTTCATCCATCTTAACCTACCTAACCTTCTTATAAAGGAAATCTTATTATAATTCTGAATCTTCTCTTTAGGCTATCTAGGTTAGAATGGCTGGATAACGAAACATCTTAACTATAGCCTCTATTCCTTAGGAGAATACTATTGATTTGGCTATATTATAATAAGAGACGGAAGCAACCAATACTTCTATCATTCCTCTAATATTATCTATAAAGGATCTTTTAAGCAAATAAGTATAAACTCTCTTTATAATAGCTTAAGCTTATATCTAGGAATTAGAAGCCTTATATAAGATATAGAAGCGAAAGTAGTATCTATAGTAGAAAGTGACTTAAGCCTCTAGAATATATATCGACCCTATAGTATAATGCTATCATAGTTATATCGATTCTAACGATAATAATAACTAAGATAATATCTATATAAAAAACCTTATAAGTTTATAAATATCTATCTTTTATCAATAATAAGATTATTGATTATATAATTTATAAAAAACTTATAATATAACTTTAAATAAATATTAAAAAGATAAAGATAAAATCTTTATCATTTTAGATTATATAAATATTAAAAAATAAGTAAAATAAAACCAATTTTTTAATAAACAAATAAATAATCTATAGTATAAATATAAAACTAGCTAGCTAAAATTTATAAAATAAACTAAATACCTTATTAAGAAAGTTAAAAATCAAGAAAATAATATTATAAAAGATTTAAAAGCTATAGTTTAACGTTTAAGATAGTCTTTAGCTAGTTTTTATAACTATCTAGACTTACTAAAAAAGTAGTTCTTTTATACTATAGAAAAAACCTATACTTTAAGCTTTTTTATTAAATTATTATCTAAGTTAAAGAATTATATTAAGCTTAATTTGCCTTAACTTTCTATCAATCGTAAGGAAATAGTTTCTTTAACGACTAGATACTAAAAATTGTTAGTAGAATAAGGCTAAAAATAGAAGTTTTTCAAAAAGTCAAATAAAAAACTACTTAAATCCTACCAAATTTTAGATAGTAGGATACTATATCCTTACTAATATAATGATAAAGCCAATAACCTATATTATTACCCTTTCAGCTAAAGAATATCAAACATAAAGCCTCTAAAGCCTAAAAACCTTCTAAAAACTAAGGAAAAGGCTTTTACCTACTATCAATATAAAGGTAAAGATTATATTATAAACTACTATCTTTAGTAGACGAATATAGTAGAGACGACTAAATAGTAAGGTTATAGTAGTAAAAGCTAAAGAAACTATCAAACGTTAAAAGACTCTCTACTCCTTTAATATTATTATCAATCGTAAAAACTATAAATCAATTTTATATACTTATTTAAGTCTTAGATTATAGTCTGATTAGCATTTATACTAACTTAGATAATTATATAAAGATAGATTTAGTAAGTTATAAATTTATAAGATAAATAAGCTTATAATAAAATATTATATTTATACTTATAATTTAAGCTATAAACAATATAATAATATCAACTTATAAGGTATAAAAAGTCCTTATAAAGACGATAGATAGTAAAAGAATCTAACAAACATTTATATACTCTTATATAACTATTGATAAAGACTTTAAACTAAAAGAAAGCTCTATCTTACTTTCTATAACTACTTTAGTAAACAATTATATTTATTTAAGCCTTTATCAAAAATAGTGGTAGTTTGAGACTATACTTACTATCTTTTAAATATAAAATCGTTAGAAATTCACTTAAGAAAATCAGAATATAGTCTTCGTTTATACTATCATCTAAATACCTAAGAGCCTACTCTTATTTGACAAAAAAAAGGTAAAATATAAAGGAAGTATTATCTTATTATCTAAGTTTTAAGAGTATCAAGTTATTTTTATACTTAAAAATGCTAAGATTTTACCTTACTTTAAGGCTATAGACTACTTTATTAACTTAATTAAAAGGAAGGAACTATTCTATAGCCTTATCTACCCTTTATCTTATCAAAAGTTAGAAAAGCTATATAAATATCTAAATAAAAACTTTAAAGCTAGATAAATCTAGCCTTCAAAAAGTCTAGCTAAAGTATCTATCCTTTTTATATTTAAAAAAAATAATAGTTTATAATTATATATAGACTATCAAGGTCTTAATAAGATATTAGTAAAGAATCGCTATCTTCTACTCTTAATATCAAAGATTCTAAATTAAGTGTCAAAGTCTTAATACTTTATTAAAATTAATATTAAAAACATTTACTATCATATTTAGATAAAAGAAGATGATAAATAAAAGATTATTTTTTATATTAAATATAGTTAATTTAAATATTTAGTTATATCTTTTAGACTTATCAATACTTTAGCTATTTTCTAAAACTATATATATCTAATACTATAAAAGCTATTAGATACCTTTTATATAATATATTTAGATAATATCCTAATCTTCTTTCTAAATTATAAATTATATACTATATATATTAAGTAGGTTCTTAACTGCTTATAAGAGATATAATTATATACAAACCTAGTTAAATACTTCTTCTATTAAAGAAAAACTAAATTCTTAAAATATATTCTGTCTATAGATAGTATTAAGATAGATTAACAGTAGGTAAAAGCTATCGCTTTCTAGCTAAAGCTAAAAAGCTATCATAATATCTAAATCTTCCTAAAGTTCTATAATTTCTACCGTCAATTTATATTAAGCTACTTAAAAATCATAGTACCACTGATAGTACTACTGAAAAATAGTATTAATAATAAAAAGCCAGATAATCTAATATTAGATGATAAGAAGAAGTAGACATTCTACTATCTATTATAAGTTTTTTAAAAGATACTACTTTTACATTATTATAACTTTTAAGACTTTATAAAAATAGAAATAAATATATTTAACTATATATTAACAAATATATTATCCTAACCAAACTCTAAAGAATGATATTATCCTATAGTCTTTTGATTATATAAGCTAAAGGATACTAAATTAAACTATAATATTCTAAATCTAAAGATGATAGCTATTATAAAGTTAATAAAGTATTGACAATATTATATTAAAGGCTCTTTCTATACTATAAAGATTCTATCAAACTATTATAATC